TAATCATATGTCGAAAGTGAATCAGCCAAATGCAGATATGCAGCATGCGGATGTGCTGGTTATGGCTGCGTGTGTCAGTGAATCTTAATCCACTGTTTAAGGTTTATCTTCCATTACAGGGTCAGAGATTACTGATTGCCATTATGCAATCTGGGTTTTTTCCCCTCTCTTTCACAGGCACACACACACACACACACACACACACACACACACACTCACGCACAAGCGTGGCCTGGTACAAGTGTGAATCCTAATCAAACATAGTCCTAGTCCCATGCATTGGATCTTAGGTCTGCTAATGAGACTCATGTTGAGCATGTGCTGCCGGCATGTTAATAGCATTCTCCCCGTGTGTGTGGGTTCATTGCCTTCCGGCGACGTCATGCAGAGAGACTCTCAGGAGACGTGACAAAAAGACACGCCGTGTCCGAAGCACAACCACAGCATCTGTGTACTCCGGTGACCTCGTTTGATTTTAAAGGCGTGACCCACTTTTTTCTGAACCACCTGCTTTTAAAGGCCGACGCTGCACCTGTTACCTGTTGGTTCATGCTTGTATTCGTGCATGGAGACCCTTCTTTCTCCATCCAGTTAGCGAGTGAGTGGAGGGAGTTTTAAATTGCCTACTAAGAGTAGATTAAGTACTTTATGACCCAAGATGACATCAAAGGTTTAAATTTGCTTTCTCGATACAAGCGCATTCGTAGGTGGTTACAAAATAGTTAATTTATTTCTCCCACTCACATTAGGAGATTTGCCCCGAGTGCTGAGACCGTGACATATGGACGCTGATTTCCACTGTTGTGTATTTCACATCATGAGATAATATGACATTATTCATCTGCAAAACTTCTCTTGAGTGTTGTCAGCTTTGATTAAACATCTTCATTTATCGCCACGCGGTAGCAATTAAAACGAAATACAGACTGGCTGGTTTAATTGTTTGCCATTTTATCTACTGCAGTATTCATTTTGAATCAACAACCTTTATTTTTGTGACAAGATATTACGAGACGGCACCAACGTCATTGAACAAAGTTGTATTATCTCAAAGGTCTGTTCAGGGTGTCATATGAGACTCAGTTCAACGCTATCAACTGGTGGTGAGGGGTACGAAAGTATGACTGGAGCGGGCATGAACACAACACACGCACTCAATGAACAATCAACGGCGCACAATGCTGCACACAAACCACAAGCCGCTATACATGTGCACGCACGGACACACAATGCTCACAGAGGAGCAATAATTAGGACGATGTGCTGTGGATATTCTTGGTACAATACTGATCAGTGTCATCCGTTTGTGTGCACGTGCGTGTGTGTGAGAGAGAGAGAGAGAGAGAGAGGGAGAGAGAGAGGGAGAGAGTGCTGCTGCAGCCCACAGTTTCCATGGTAACGTAGGAGCCCATCTTGGTCTCTATGGTAACTTCTGGTTGGCACCCACAGTGATGGAGAGAGAGTGACGAGAGGAAGGAGAAGCGACGAGGTGACAGAGAAGTGAGGGACAGGAGAGAGAGAGAGTTAGAAGTTGGTTGGACTGTCTTCATTCTTTCGTCCAGTCCAGTTGTTTAGTCTCCTCCTCACATTGGCTTGTGACTATCTTCGGCTAATAAGGGGGGAGTCGCTGGCGACCTCGGGAACAGCCGCGGTTGCATAATCACGGGGCCTAGTGTAAGTGCAGTCGCGTCCTCTTGGCCGCACAGTAGGTTCCCTAAAAATGCTCCTTCCCCTACTTCCTTGGCCCCATAGAAAAGTGATTAGGAAAGGAGACGGCATAGAGACGTAGAAAGCACCGTCTCGGGGAGACTAAACCCCAGGTTACTAAAACCACTTCATGATAACTACAAAAGCGCACAGGAGGAAAAAAGTACTGGCTCCCGGTTAGCGATTCGTATGGTGTTATTTATTTTCATGTTATGATGGAGGCGAGGGGAATCTTCCTGCACGTGTCCATTTGTCTCCCGATCACGCTACTGTAGATGTCCGTCCTTCTCCGTCTCTGCAGTTGCGTCATTAGCCCGCTAATAGGACGCACGCCAGCGACGTGTACGACTCCACACCCTCGTACTTGGGCTCACTGAATAATAAATCCTGACCGGATGACGGCGGTGTGTTACTGTACAGTTCGTACAGAGCGGTTTCCTGCCTGAGCGGCTTCCCGCTGTCCACGCGGCGGGACGGGGGGTCAAATGTGCACCACCAGAGGGAATTTCATTTTATCACTACACACAAAAAGTTACATAGGCGTTTTGGCCGACGCGCGTTACGTTATGATGCTACTGCTGTTTTGTATTTGAATAATTGAATGACAAGATATGTCAATGATGTATTGACCTCTGGTTTGAAAGCACCACACACACACACACACACACACAAAGAGTTGGCCATTGTGTGTCCATCCTCTTTTCTTTTTTCTTGCAGCACATACACAGAAGGTCACGGCGAATGGAAACATTGTCCCCTGTACGGTAGAATGTCGATACCATAATCTGATTGGCCTGGTTGAGGGATCGGCGGTTTGGTTGACCTATCAGAAGCTAACTGAATTATTGCTCCCACATACTCACCTTTCTGTCATTCTGTCTGCCTTCTTCTGTCTCTTTAGTCTCTTTAGTCTCTCTCTCCCTCTCTCTCCCTCTCATTTCTCTCTCATCTTCTTTCCAGTCACTAACCAGATTAGTTGTCCCGTTATGGATTTTGCCCTTTATGGGTCTGTGTGAACGGAAGGAAAGGAGGTAGAGAAGTGTGTGTTCCTGTCTGGTTGTCTGTGTGTGTGTGTGTGTGTGTGTGTGTGTGTCAGGCTGAGCTGTTCTAGCCAGATGTTTTTCTATGTTTTATTCTCCTGAGCGCCGTACTGTCTGCCTGTCACCGACAGATACACAGCCTGGATGTGTGTGTCTGCGTGTGTGTGTGTGTGTGTGTTTGAGCGAGAGTGATGGAGTGCTTTTGTGTATTTGAGAGGAAAGATAAGTGTGTGTGTGTGTGTGTGTGTGTGTGTGTGTGTGTGTGTGTGTGTGTGTGTGTGTGTGTGTGTGTGTGTGTGTGCATTTTTTAGATTAATTACCTCCGCATAGACTACTAATACTCACTCTGTGGTGGAGGGTCTGCACTACAAATGATGATTATTTGAAGAAAAAAACAATTCTCCAGGCTTTGAAACTGACACATGCACGCAGACGGTGTTTGCTTTGAAAATCTTGATCTTTTTCTTTGAGACGAATACTTTTTGTGCCAATAAAGAACACTTGAATTTAAATGAGAGGAGGCGAGAAGCGAAACGGGTTCCGGGGTGCCGCCCGCCTCCCCCGGCCCAAAATCAACTCGCCTTTCATGTGGTCCGTCTTTCAAACTGTGCAAATCCACCGTATTGTAATTCACGTCATTCCCTCCACAGTCAAGTGTGGGAAAAAACACTTCCAAACCGTAGCCTGTATGATAATTGCATCATTAAGGACGCAACATCAAAGCGGGACTCTCTCATTGATATCCCGATAGAGCGAGGGGGCGTCAGCTGCTGAGAGGACGGTAACTTGGCTAATTCAACTTCAACGAACACCCTCTGTGACCCTTTGTTCTTGGAGGTCACACGTGCGACAGTGAAACCACAGCCGGAGAGTCAGAACGGTGGCTGCTCAGAGTAGACGACCGATTCCCAAGGCTCCCAGAATGTGTGTACGCGAGGGGGCCTGAGGCGTTTGTTTAGCTGGACCAACTTAAGACTCACTTCAGCCTCAGCAGCAAATCTCCAATGCAGCTTATCCAACAGTGACACGGCCTATTGACTTTAACGACGCTCTCTAACTGGCTGTTACAGAGGGATCACTTGAGTAAAATGACATTTTGAACTGCTCGATTTGCATTCAGTGTCTCAAAAGAAGTGCAGAAGTTGTGCCTTCAGCCTCAGGTTCAGCTGGTTCCTCCTTAAAAGAGGGGGGGGGGGGGTTCGGGTCTGGAGAGACCTGGCTGGCCTTACGTCCCAGACCTCTGGCCCCCTGTGGGTGTGCGTCCCTGGGAAAACCGACGGAGCACTGAGATGGACGGATGGATTGGTGTATGAAGCTAAATATATCTGTACTTCTCTTTTTTTGATGTACTTCAGAGGGAAGGAGAAGGCTTCTGAGTTAAGATGATTTTCTTTTTGTTTAGTTTGGACAACATCCTAAAAGTTTTGCACCATCCAGTTGATCTTATTTCTGTTACCAAAATAACATGTGAAGCAGACATGACTCGATTTGGTGTACGATGAGTTGTTTGTAAGCTTACGCTCGTCAGAAAGTTACATAATTCTCCGTCTCAAGGCCATTTCAGGCCATTTCCCAGGACCCTCCCAGCCAGGGGGTCATCTCTGCGACAACAATCTCTGAGGAACTCTGTACTGGAGGAGTCGCTTGTGTGTTTGTGCATGTGTGTATACATACGCACAGGAAGAGAGACGCTGTGATTAAATAATCCAAATGCTTTGAATGTGTACGTGATTGCAACTTAGAAGATTATTATTATTTACACATAAATAATCGAACGTACGCACGGACGGACACGCACTCACACACACACACACACACACACTCACACCAGGAGCCTCACAAACAGTAAGAGAACGTCTTGTTCCGGCTGAAGAACTAAGAGGAGTGCACAGCGAGCACTGTTGGCACTCATAAGTCACGGACAGGTCTTCAGTGATGTCATGGACATAAATAGCTCATAAACAGGACGTAATAAATTGTGAATCAACGCGTGTGTAAATCTCTGTGTTGTTCTTTCGCCAGTTGCTCAAAAACGAAACCTCTCAGAACTTTGAACAGGCGTTTGTTGTTTTCTCCATCAATCGGTCCCGATACTCGGCGTCCCGTTGAGAGTATTTACTCACATGAGCGGAGCTCACTTCGCCGCGGCACAATCGGCCTTTTCTACAACCTCCCTTTCTTCTTCTGTCACACCGAGCCTCCGGCCAGGCCGCCGCTCGGACTAACCCGCGTCCCGTTTGTGTGTCCCTGCAGGAGCGTGTGGAGTACCTGTTCCTCATCATTTTCACAGTGGAGGCTTTCTTGAAGGTAATAGCCTACGGCCTGCTCTTCCACCCCAACGCCTACCTGAGGAACGGCTGGAATCTGCTCGACTTCATCATCGTGGTCGTAGGGTGAGTGGACCGGAGCTGCCACGGCGATTCGGTGAATCTATGTTTGTGGTAGAGAGAGAGAGAGAGAGAGAGGGGGAGAGAGGGTAAGACAGTGACAGCAAGTCTCGTAGAGGTGTTTGACAACCCCCAAAAAACTGGCACATTTTTAAACATCAGCACATCGTTGGTAAATGAATCACAGTACCTCGGTATGGTTGCTGTCAACAAATGAATCTGCAGCCAAGACGAGCGGTGGCTTTGTCCAATGCCAGAGACAGCTAGCGCCTCTCAAAATGGAGACTGTGTGTCCCACCAACACCTGTGATGGCTGTAGTAAACAAAAGGAAGATTCTGCACTTCCCTTTATTCACTTTCACGTTTCACAAATTTCACGTTTAGTTCACCAAATCAACGCATTTGCATTGGGACTCTGAAAAAGAAAAAGAAAAGATGCGTCCTTTTTCGTTTACAGGAATACTGCCCAACTATTGCAAAGAAAGAAGCCTAACCCCCCCAGAGCGGATCCGCATTAAAGCCGCCGTAAACTTTGGTCTGCAGTGTATTGGTGAAGCCTAAACTGATTAGTTTGTTAGATGCTGATAGCTAAGCTCTGCTCCGATGTTCTTTATCTGCAACTCAGCAACATGGCCCATCTGCTAAGCCCTCTGTGCCTGAGTGCATGTGTGTGCATGTGTGTGCGTCTGACTTTGTGTGTGAGTGTGCTGCCTGGCAGCTTGGTTTTTTGTACAGTGTTGCAGGGGGGGGAGGGGGGGTTGGCACAATAGCCAGTGGACCTGACAGTTGCATTAATGCCATAAAAATGGTCTAATTGACCATTTTTGTGCGCGTGTGTGTTTGTGTGACTGCATGCACACGAGAGACACTGCAAGGAAGCCACCCGACAGCCCCGAATAAAGGCCCAGTAAATCCGCCAACACACATTCTAAAGTCAGTGAGTCTTAGTCAGTCAAGTGTGTCACTCACATTAGCGACCACCAACTGAACACGGTCGGCTTCACTCCAAAGACACACACTGTGTGTGTGTCTTTGGAGTGAAGCCAACCACTCCATCGGCTGGCAACACAGTGTCGGTGCCCCTGGCATGAACACAACCTTTACCACTCGTATGCCGTCTCCTCTCTCTGTCTGTCTGTCTCTCTTTATCTCTCTCTCTCGCTCTCTTTTTCTGAATTATTTGCAGCGATGGCGTTGTTGTTTTTTGCGAGGGAGCACGATCGAATGCACAATGATACATTATTGATCAGTTCAAGGGAATCACATTTTTCCTTGCGACCCTGCCAAAGTAAATTCAGAAGGCCAGACACCTGCTGAAGCTCCGGAGTTGGCGGCGTTCAGTCTTGCTCAAGGTTTTGGAAGATTAAATCTGAATTGCCTCTCAAGACGTTGCCCAGGGTTTAATATTTTTCTATTTTTTTATGTTTTGTTCACTTCAAAAGCTAAAGGAATCAGCTGAAATCCAGTTAAAAGCAATGCGATGGCGTCATTCTGTGGACTCTGCTCAGCAGAATGATGCAGAGCTAGAACATTGTTCACTTGTTCAGAAGACTCTTCTTAAAAAAATCATTTCACAATATTAGTCATCATCATGGTGGTCTTGATCCATTATCAGAAACTTTTCCCCAACTTAACAAGTCGTTTTTCTTCCCTAAACAGAGAAGAAAACACTGGAAAGTCTCAATTTGTCATTTTGGAAGGCTCTGTGACTTTGCCCTGTTTTGTCATTTAGATATACTTGTCATGGAAGTGACACAAAATGCAGGGTCGAGGGAGGGGGGGGCATCATTTATGAAGTTACACACATACACTCCCTCTATTTCCCACAGTCAAGAGGACACACAGATCCTAGGAAGGTTTTGGCTGTGACGTATCTCTGTGCGCATGAATTGCTGATTGTCTTTATGCATGTGCGTGCCATTCAGTCCGCGCCTCTCTCACTCTGAGAGAAAGGCACGAACAGAATTCAGGCAGGCTTCCACAGAGGTGTGTGTGTGTGTGTGTGTGTGTGTGTGTGTGTGTGTGTGTGTGTGTGTGTGGATAGGAAGTGACAGCGTTTGCTCCCTCTGGAATGTCCACCATATGGGTGAAAGAGCTTGTACCTGGTGCACACACACACACACACACACACACACACACACACACACACACACACACACCAATGCTTGAGGCTACAGTACTACTCAAACGTACCTTAAAGTTGTGTTATTAAAGGTTCAGTGAGCTAACAGGCACTCCGTGTGATGTGTGTCTGTTTGCGGTGGGAACTACTGTATAGACTTTGTCCTCTACTGTGGATAAATATCATTTACTTTTATTTACTCATTCCTCTTTGCTCTTGTGTATTAGTTCTGTTCATGTAGTCGTATGAGTTGTCCTGTCATAGGGTATGATTATATTTATGGTGACATTTATCACTGTGATTTCATGATTATGGTTTGATTTTCTCCATTGATTTTAAGTCTTCAGCCTGACAATAATTCATTTAAAATGTTGTTTTGACACCCATTCTGCCTCACTTAACATTGAGCTGTCTGTGATTTGAAATAGGAAGAATGAAATTTAAAAATATTGCATGCAAAGCATTATAAACTGGAACATTGAGATGATTAAATGATCCGCCAAATGACAAAAGTATTATCATCCTTTTAAAGTAAACATTGTCACCACTTAATTATATATAACACTAGAACATTTATTTTTAAAAAAGTCATTGCGTTATTGATTATTCACTTATTTGCAGACCTTCTGCGATTTTTAAATAATTAGTTCTGTAGTATTGTGGGGCTCTGACAACTATTTAACCACATAACTTCCGTTATCTTTATGAATGCACACAGCTTCTGCTGTGGATGAACACACGCCTCGACGTGGCTCCTCACTCAGAGGCTCTAATTATCATTTAACACCCCACCATGGCAAAAGATGCCGGGCAAGATGCCGACGGGCTTTTCATACCCTGTTTCAAAGGGGGGCGAGAGAGAGCTGAGATGGAGGAAGTGCAAACTGCAGAGGACCAAAGAGAGAGAGAGAGAGAGAGGGCGATTTGTTTTGAGAGGTCTTTTCAAGTGGCCATTTCATATGTGCTAATTGATAATTCTCCATGACTAACGCGCCGCTGACTAGCCTTTGAGCTGCGCTAGCTGGAAAATGGAATTGTGTGGTGATTTCTAAAGGATCGGAGTGAGCAGACAGCGATGAGCTCAGCTGGACCAACTGCATCTGCAAGCAACATCTTGTCTGCAAATAAATTCATAGCGGATAAGAGTCAACAGAAAGGCTGCAGCATACAAAACACGTTCAGCCCTTTTATTGGAGACTAGGATTAAACTAAAGGGCCTGGAAAACAGCACCGGACCGGAGAGACACAAGAAGCTAACCTTTTATGAAGAATAATCATTTTCACTATTCTACATTTCTTGCTACTTCCAGATATCACAGTAGAGAGACAAAAAAGGTTGCGTAACGTCACATGGCAAAATGTAAATTTGTGTTGTATTCAATGTGCTGTAGGCACACACACGCACACACACACACACACACTCACAAACACATTTTGGAGACATCTCTCTTCAGTCCAGACGTGCACAGTGTTCTGCGGAGCGGGCTGTCAGCCCATTGAAGCCGAGTGTCTCACTTGTGAACGACGGAGGGAACAAATGAAACGCCTTCTATTGTTGTGTTGGAGAGCAACCTAATGAAGCTGTTTTATTTTCCACTGTTATTCGCAGGAAGCGCGAACGTCTTCATCGTTCCCTTTGGATTGTTGAGACGGTCCCAAACTCGGTTGTCGTGTAAACCTACATCCCTTTTTGATAAGTTATGATAAGGATGTAGATGGTTCAGTTTAGTAGCGACAGCAGCCAGTGACAGCAGAGGGAATAAAAAAGGAATGCCGACAACTGCAGAAATCCGTCACTGTAATATAATATGTCTGTTTCGTTTTCCGGTACGTGGAAACAGATGTCCACCTGACCACGACGCTTGCCGAACTCCCTGCTTTCTGTCTTGCAGGTTGTTCAGTGCGATCTTGGAGCAGGCCACCAAGGGGGACGGCGGCACGCCTATCGGCGGGAAGGCGGCGGGCTTCGATGTCAAGGCCCTGAGGGCGTTCAGAGTACTGCGACCCCTCAGACTGGTCTCCGGAGTACCCAGTAAGCGCTGAGAGCTGTGGATGAAAGACAGGTCGAATGAGAGAGACGGCAACGGGTGGGGGGGATGGTGAGGGTCTGACGATCAGGTGTGAATTGGGGGGAGCCGGGGCGGAAAGGGGCAGCAGATTGGAGCCGATGTAGCGAGTCGATGCCGGAGGGCTCACCTTAAGGGAAGGGGCCCCCCCCCCCCCCCGTTGAGAGCCCTCTTGTCAGATACGAGTTGTTTGTTGGCCTCTGTGTTACTGACTGCAGACGTCAATAAACCACCAACAGGCCAGGAGGGTCGGATAACGCGGCATTGCTACGGCGCTCCTGCGTTGTGTGTGTGTGTGTGTGCTGAGGCACATCTTGTAATCACAATATCAGGTAAATGCCGAGCACGCTGGTGAAACTCCTACTCTGGTGCCGTTGTGTTTTTTTTTTTATTCAGTTTGATCCCCATCCCCACATTACTGCACCGCGTTGGATCTGTATCATGGCAACTGATCAGCGTCATGTTTGCTACCCGATTAGCCCACTGACATCTGTATTTCTAAGGGCTCCCTGTGCCAATGCTTCTCATGTAAAGTAGAATTGATGAATATTACGATTCGGTCTGTTTTGTTAAAATGATTTATGTTTTAGATGCCACACCAATGCTTTTTCTTCATGACAAATGATGGAAGAAATGTACTGTGTCATTTGTAACTTAATCAGCAAATGTCAGTGCCGTTCAGAGAATTTGTTGGTGATGGTAATGGGGATGGTAACAGCTGCATAGAAAAGCATTTAAAGCAAATTCTGAATTCTGATTTTTATCAAGGTCAAATTAGGTGTTCATTTATATAAGCACGTCGGAATATGTCTTTTGATAAATTTATCAAATCAAATAAGAACCTCTCTCTGAATGATCACAAGATGAATGACTTTTTTCAGAGAAAGTCGTCGGTTTGAGTGCTGGCATGCTGATGTAACTATCCCGCTATATGATGCACTACTGGTGCTTTTGTATAACATCATCACCAACATTACAGTTGATAGTCTTTTTTTGAGGTGTGTGTGTTTGTGTGTGTGTGTGCCGCAGGTTTACAGGTAGTGTTGAACTCCATAATCAAAGCCATGGTTCCCCTGCTCCACATCGCCCTGCTGGTCCTCTTCGTCATCATCATCTACGCCATCATTGGCCTGGAGCTCTTCATGGGCAAGATGCACAAGACCTGCTCTAACCACATAGGTACACGCATGCGTACACACACAATATCGCGCGACTACGATGCATCATTTTATTTAATGTATGTATTTACACTTCAACTCCAGAGATAGACACACAGGTGAAGACTACAACAAACAAACCTCCCAATAGGAAAAGTACCGCTTACATCTTTGACACAAAGACGTCACAAAGCAGAAAATCGAGCTTAATCAGTTCCTGCCATAACCCCCATTCATTATTTACACCGTCAAGTATGAATCATTTGGGCAGTAATTGAAACAGCGTCTGCCATAAATGATTGAAACAGATTTCAGTAAAGGGTGCTAGGTATAAATGGACTTAAGTGTTGTTACGGTGATGTTATGGGTCTCATGAGGGGCATTAGCTCTGCACAGGGTGAGTGCTTGCAGGATACTTATCCTATGCATCGCCCTCCAGAGCTTATTTTGTATAATTCACAAAAAGCCCTTTTCTCATTGATTTCAGATGGCTGCTCCGTTTAGTGTCCTTTGTTTAACCTTCTTTTAGATGTAGACTCATTTATTTTAGATAATCTATCTCTAGATGTACCACCAAAGGGAAGATTGATTTATAATTACTCCCGGAGTAAGAGTCCCAGTCTTTTTCTCAATCCTTTTTTCAGGTTCAGGGGCAATTTAAGATAGGAAGGATAACATTTCTTACTCTTCCTCCTTTCTATTCCCCACAGGCACCATAGCAGAGGAAAAGCCGGCGCCGTGTGCACCCGATGGAGCTTTCGGGCGACACTGTAAACACAACGGAACAGTGTGCCGGGTGGGATGGGAGGGGCCCAACGACGGCATCACCAACTTTGACAACTTTGCTTTCGCCATGTTGACCGTGTTCCAGTGTATAACCATGGAGGGCTGGACCGACGTGCTGTACTGGGTGAGCCGGACACCACAACGGTGTCTGTGTGCGTGTGTGTGTGTGTGTGTGTAGTGAGAGCCATACTGCTCTGTGTGCGTAGTTACTGTAGTTTGTCTATATAACATCAGTGCGGCCTGAGTGCTTTTGAAAGAGGAATATAAAGCAATAACACAAAAATATCTCTCAGAAAGGCAGGTATGATTGTGTGTGTGTGTGTGTGTGTGTGTGTGTGTGTGTGTGTGTGTGCTAGCTCATATCTCGGGCTGAATCGATGCCGACAATACACTGTGTAATGGAAGGCGGCGATGCATTTGAAACGTGCGGAGAATCCTGATGCTCGATTCAGGTGTCAAGTGCAAACACACAAGCACACAAGCACACAATTATGAGCACGCAATAACTATCCCATCGTGAGTAAATGGCCGGCCGCCCTGTCTAGCTAAATTTACCAATGGATTAGTCTGGGCTGTTAATCAATGGTCCCACATGCGCCATCCTGAGAATAAATTTGATTTAGACCTGCACACGGAGGCTTGCTTCATATATAGATTATGATATCGATACATTTTCTGATGAACCCCCTCCTTAAATTACACTAACGTCTACCTGTGTGATTCCTCACGCATTAATCCGTCCTGAGACGTCCTGTGATGTCCTCTAACTTTGTCATGGTGAGACTCAACGCCAAAGGTTCATCAACTACGCATCCGTCTGGTTCCGTCTGGAGTACCAGCTCTTATGTCACGTTGCAACTAAAAGTCTGAAATAACTGCTACAATGTAATCTAACAATCTAATTTCTATTCATCTGATATCTTGAATGTTATCATTTTATTCAGGTCACAGAGCATTTGAAACTGATATCAGAAGAGCACTAAAAGCATTTATTTTCAAGAACCCTGAAAGACACTCATGATAAATAAATAAAAATCCAGTGCACTGCACAAACAAAAGATTTTGTATCCTGCTTATGGAGACTAAATTATATTGCTGAATCCATTGCAGCCAAAGGTTCATATTTTCTCACTTGTTTCGTGGTGCACCTACAGTTCATCAGAGTAGTTTCTTATCATACCTGAAAAGAGAAGGAGATTACGACCAGAATAAACAGGTGAGGCCCAAACGGGGAGCGAAACGATAGGAATTAATAGGAATTAGTAGGAATTCTTTATTAGATTAACAAACTGAAAGATCACAAACGTAACGGAATGAACGAGGTGTCAGTTTGTGACATGTAACTCGTGTCAGGAGTTTTGAGTGTGTTTGTGTGTGTCTGTGCGGGTGTGGGATTTTACAACACAAACAAGCAGATGTGTGTGTGTGTGTGTGTGTGTGTGTGTGTGTATACACATGGAGCAGATAGCTTACTAGCTCCTCACCCCTCCTTCAACTGACCTGTCAGCTGCAACCCTCTCCGCGCGCACACGCACACACACACACACACACACACACACACTTCTTACTTGTGCTTAAAGGGCCCTGTTCTCAGACCAAAGGGGTTACTCGCTTTGCTCAGCCGCTCTACTGCTGTCGTTCAACATGCACTGCCGTTCGCAGTTTCCGGCCCGTCACGTTTCCCGCCCCGTCCTTGACCTTCTCCCGCCACGCTTCACTCTCTCTCGTGTCAATCTTATCGAACCCCCCCACACCTCCCCCGACTTTTCTTCCTCATTTCCCACTGTCCACATTGCGGTCTTCCTCGCATCCCTCTTATCTTTCCCCTGGTCCTCCACCAACGCTCTCCCCGCTAATCCCCCTCTTCTCTCTGTCTCCTTCTCTCCCGTGTCTCTCGTCTCTCTCAGATGCAGGACGCTATGGGCTATGAGCTGCCGTGGGTCTATTTTGTCTCTCTCGTCATCTTCGGCTCCTTTTTCGTTCTCAATCTCGTTCTGGGGGTGTTGAGCGGGTAAGAGGTCGTGCTGTTGTCATGTGTGCGCAAATGTTTGTCTGTGTACTGTTTGTGATGTGGCCGTACTGTACGTGGATTTTGCGATGTGATAAATGACCATGCAGCAAAACTCCCCGGACCGGACATCCCAAGTGCAACTCCAGTTAACCAAAAAAGGGTGGTTTTAATTGTATGATTGTTACTATTGTGTACTACTTACCGTAACCCTTTAATCAAGTATCAACTAATTAGTTTGACATAAAAATGCATATTATCTTTACTGCAATATAACTTTAAAACCACACTAACTATAGAACTGCCCTATAAACCTTATTTCTAAGGTTTAAGTTGAACATGCTTCAGCCTTTTATCAACGTCTTCTACGTCATCCACCTTTCAATTGAGGACAGTTAATAGACACCATTATATAGTAATACAAAAGTTGGAGCACAGAACTTCAGAAAAATCTGAAGGTAAGATAACCAAAACATCTGGATACAGTGTTTACTGCTTTAGAAAATCCCCAAAGATATTCAAATGAGGTGTTGAATAATATTCCGACTGGCTGGACTCTCTTCTTTTAACCAGCACAGGTTTTAATTACACAAACAAGCAGCTCTCTCGCGTTCATCCGTCTGCCTCGTTGCATGATCGGGTGTTTCACTTGAGTCCGGGCTCAGTTTTAAGAGACGCGCTTCCTCCCGAAAATACCCGGCCGCATTCAAAGTCCGTCTTGTGTGTATACACGTGTCAAGGTTTACACTCGCGTTCGTCACACGTGCAGATTATCGCGCATCTGCTGATGCTGTTGGTGTTTGAGCAGCGTGTCCATATTTGCACAGAGGCACGTGACGCGTGTGATTTCCGTGTGTTTGTTTGTTTGTTTGTTTGTTTGTGTTGTTCAATAAATGCTGCTCCGGCATGGAATCAAGGTGCTGTTTTCGCCGCTCTACCAAGTGCCGTCGTCTTAGTACAAGCATCACCCGGGGCCTGCAGGGACACACTGGGGTATTAATAATTCACCCCTCAGGTCAGGCGTGGAGGTGGAACCTAAAAAAAAACCTTGCACAAGAGGGAAAACACAGGAGGCGAAAAAATGGGATTCTGAGGACAGAGCGAAGTCTGAAAGAAACCTGGCATTAAAAATGGAAAATTTAGGATGGAAGGTTCCATTGAATAGGGGATATCTTATTTTGTAAGTGTTCATGAAAGCATTATACTTTGCAGATATAAATAATTTGATTCTCAGAGTGAAAGAATAATAATATGACAATAAAGTAATAATAAGTTATTAATAGTATATAGTAGTATAATTAACTAATAATAGTTACCCCAAAATTACACCCAAAAGAAAACTCTTAAACTCAAACAACATTAAAACTAAGACTCAACCCGTAATGCCTTCTTATTATTACATTTTCCAAATTCCATATTTCATTCATGACATTGAGAGCAAATCCTTCTTTCAGGACAGAGCTGATGTCCCAGCCGTGGGAGTCTTGCTGCACGGTCTGTTCAGGTTCCTAACTCAAATATCTTCCCTCCACAATGATTGAGTGGCCTCAATCCAACTGCTTGTTAAACTTGTAACCTTCAGTCCTTCAAAAACCACCAAACGGTCAGTGACTGACCGATGATGGCTGCACCATCATTCCCCGGCAGAGATGGTGCAGGAGCCAACGACTCACCGAGGATCTAACCGCTTCCTTCTTCCCCTCCTCCCTTCTCTCCGACATTCCTCACTGCTCCTTCCTACCTGCCCACTCTACTGGCCTTCCTTTCCTTTCTCCTTCCTTCCGCCCATCCTTTCTGTCTCCTCTCCTTGGTCTCCACCTAGGTGAATGACGCAGTAGGGTACAAGTGGCCCTGGGTGTATTTTGTCACCTTAATCATCATCGGATCCTTCTTTGTGCTAAACTTGGTTCTGGGGGTATTGAGCGGGTAAGGGCGAGGTTAAAGGTCACTCTAAAACTAACTTCTCTTGTTCTCCTTCGTGCCTTCATTCCTAGCGAGCTTTGCTGTCTGTTTTTTGCTGAAGGAAACTCTGTTGTTTGATTTACTTTCTAGTTTCCAGTTCAACACAAGTGTTCAAAGCATGTTCAGGGATGTGTTTCAATATTACTGTGAGAGGGACAGTATTTTAGAATCATAATCAATTTGCAAAAAAATTAACATTCAGATTGTGGACTGGAACTGCACACACATTGTCAGTGGTTAATATTTCCGCAGGCCGTACTTCAGCATCTTCAACAGGGGGCGGATGCGTATTGTTCGCCATTGAGACCATTTCTCTTCTCAAAGTGGTTGTATTAAAAAAAGAAAAGTCTCACTCTACACACAAGTGTGTAGTTGCCCTCATCGAATAGCTCTCACGCTATCACAAAGTGCTGAGTTCTCTGTGCTGCTGTAAAATAAAAGCTCCCAGAGAACACAGCCCAAGATCACCCAATGAAAGCCGCGTTTGGGAACGCTGGGAAGATTTATCGACAAACACTTGGCAGCTCGCAAACGGCTCTCAGATTTTGGGAACACATTAAAAAGTTAAGCCTGAGCTTGTCTTTAACGGTATTGATTTTTGGAGAGCGGTTGTATGAGGTACACAGTGTGTGTAGTGGTTTGGATACATGTTAGCGGACTAGATAAGTGCCTCATGTAATCAAAACTGTCCCTTTTAATGCGTATGACTATTGGCCATCACAAACATCCATTTAAAAAGGACGTTAATCACCATTTTGAAATTCGTTATAGTTGAAACCCCAGCTAATGTGTCCGCGTATCCTCAACCTGTTTTGGTGGTTTCTTCTCACGCCGGAGGTCATGATGATCTTGGGCAGGAAACTGGTTGAAGGCCGTGAAGAGTCTCGCCCCCCCCTTCTGACCCGAATCCGACACTCGAAACCCGCAGTGATGTGACAGCAGCATTGTGGGGGGAAATAATAGAGGTCTATCTGGAGAACACAGCTTAGGGGGGGTTTGGCTTTCTGACTCTTTGTCTGACTTCTGACTAATGATGCTGTCAACACACTACACAGCCTGACCTTTTACCAACTGCTTCCTCCGTGGAGTGTGTGTGGGCCTCAGGTTGGCACACCCACTAATGGCTAAACAGCAAGAAAGTGGCGACTGGTGTCGGGACAGAAACATCACGCGCGTAAACATGTTTGTCTGGATGTCAATGTCATCTGTAAATAAAAAGAATGGGGCTAGAGAGAAGAGGAGGGGGGGGGGGGATTCAATGGCAATTTAGGAGGGACAAATTAGATGATGAGCAATGGGGTTGGATTGAGGGATTCCTGCGAGTTCTGCAGACACACATACGCGGATCAATAAGGATTGGGTCCCCTGCTAATGTTCTGACAAGCGAGGCGGTATCCGTGCGTATCCTAATGCCTATTGATCCGTCCCGTGTGAGTCTTTGTCAGCTGTCTGTAAGTGGGATCTTTGCCATTATTCCCTCTCAATTTCACACACACCCATGAACAGCGTCTCCCTTTCATTCTGTTACACTGTGCAAAAATCAATGAAATTGGCACATGATGATCTACAGGTTCATTATGGATCCTGGTCTTACTCTCCAGGGAGTTGATTTAAAATCAATGCAGTGTTTGCTAAATATCCGATATAGAACATCTGATACATTCTATTGCTGTAAAAAGTCTCAATTATTTGGAATTATTTAATAGCATGACGTTACAAGATAACTGGTCAGAAGGATATCTATATCTATATGAAGATATAGATATATATACCACAGATGTCTTGGCTTAAATGATCCACTGCAGTGAAGCTGCAGCAAAGCGTCCTTGTCAATAGACCGTCAAATGTGGATTTGTGCGCTTTTTAGCAGCAAACGGTCCCAAAGCCTCCGGGCGCCTCTCAGCTCTCCTCCTAATGAATTATTCGGCTCCAACTTGACTTTGACCTTCCCCGGTTGCAGCGTTAAATCAACTGTCCACTAATTCTTTCTTTTGTCGTGACACCTGGAGGTATTTTCACCAGGTTACATCATCAACGTTTTCAGTATTTCACACTCTCCTAACATTGATTTTAGTTGTCTTAAATCATCTTCGCTTAGGTCCCCTTTGGTGATATTGGCCCCCAAATCCAGAGAAACATTTAAAATCGGGCATTTTATGGTGTCAACTTTAACAATCCCAAACAGCGTGTTGGTGATTTTGACAAAGAACAATTCAATAATTGCCATTGCAACTAATTTCGCATTGTTTGTTGATATGATGGCTTAGTTTGTGTGTTGTGAAGAAGTTACAATTTTTACCAGCACATAAACATAACTAAATGTAACTATGTGTTTTGTTCCAAATGCTTTCATCTATATGTGCAAACTAACACCTTTTCTTCTTGGCAGAGCTTTTCTCTTTACATTGGTTTTCTTTCTCTCTTTAGCAGGTTTTCCCTCCTTTTTGTCCTGAATCACTCAAAAATGTTCTGTATTGTATCACAACGTGTTCAGCAGCTCTTAAATTTAGATATTCAGATTATCTTTTTCCCTCTCCCTTTCTGTCCCCCTCCCCTCCCCATCCTCCCCCTTGCCATCCCATCCCTCCATTCTGCTCCCTTCCTCCCAGAGAGTTTTCCAAGGAGAGAGAGAAGGCCAAGGCACGTGGCGACTTCCAGAAACTCAGAGAAAAACAGCAACTGGAGGAGGACCTCAAGGTAGGCTGTTGTCTTTGTGCGTCCTCCACTTCTTCAATTCTTCCCCAGCAAGATCCACTCTATGTTACCGGCCTTTCAAAATAGGCATCGGCAATCTAGAAGCACGTCAAAGAGAAGTGCAAAAAACCCTCCAGTTTAAGGCAGTGAGCTTAGAAAGACACTGAAGTCACAGCATGTTTTACTAAAGAGGACATTTTGATTGACAAAGACACTGTAGCTGTCCTTAGATCATCATAAAGTCGTTTGGTTCAGGAAAGTCTAAGAATGCAACAACATTTCAGTCATAACAACTACAACTTATATCAGATCGCTGCAGTTTTGTTGATAAGAAGTATTTGTTTCTGTGTGTGTGTGTGTGTGTGTGTGTGTGTGTGTGTGTGTGTGTGTGTGTGTGTGTGTGTGTGTGTGTGTGTGTGTGTGTGTGTTTGTGAATACAGGGCTATTTAGACTGGATCACTCAGGCCGAAGACATCGACCCGGAGAACGAAGAGGAGGGCATGGACGATGATAAACCTAGAAACCGTGAGTAGTACCGCGTGTGTGATTTGTGAATTGTTGACCATTGTTGATCCCATTAATATCTGAAGATATGTCATGTGATTGGTCAGCAGGTAGTGCTGATATGGATGGATGGCTGGATGAGGATGTTAATATTGTCTCCCTGCTTTGGCGGGGAAACGTCTCGCTGTTTAAAACCTGTTTAGATATTAGCGGAATGTGTCAGACTGCAGCTAACAGCCTCTGGGCACACACTCACATGCACAAACTACCTTATGCAAACGCACACACATACACACACTGTAGGTGTGCACCCCTAGGAGTGTTCTGACGGAAATGTATACACACAAATTAACACCATGTCTCTCTCCGCAACACCTCCAGAGAGAGAGAGAGAGAGAGAGAGAGAGAGGCAGCCACACATGGCTACTTGTGCCCCCGAGACTGAGCTACATTTCCTGGGGTGGAAAAATTAAACCGCTGGCCTCTTTTTCCACCTGGAGGTTTAAGCCGTTGAGAAAATAGATGGGACTCGAGATGGGGATGCTGAGGAGGAGAAGCAGGGATCTGACTGAATGCTTCCCTGCGCTATCATTCCATCTTTAGTATGTAAAGTACGCCTCGCCAGCTACTCTGTCAATGCTCTGAGCCCAGATTCCTCACGCTGATGATGAGGTATGATGAGGACTGAAGATGCAGAGGCTCAGCCGCAGCACATACTCAGAAACACTAACGACTGCCGAGGGAACAGGGGGGGGAAAAAAAGATAAGATAATTTAATCTTTTTTGATGCTCAAGGAATTGCCACCTATTTACATGAAAATAAGGCGCAGCCACCCCGTGGCTTATCCCTATCGAATCCCCTTGTTTCCACCTGTTATCGCTGCCCTGAGCCAATCAGCGGCAAAAACAAAGCAGCGGTGGCTTCTATGTTAACAAACAATTAAATGCAGAATGTGGCCCACAAATTGGGCCAATTTTGTAGAATGTGACATGGCAATATTCTGAATTTTTCCTTGATTTTATTTCCCTTGTACTGTTTATCTAAAATGATTTGCAATGTCGAACAAGCCCCAGTTAGCTGTAAGGGGACAAGAATACATGAGTGCTTGATCCAATCTAGTACCTTTTATCAAATGTATAACTCGGGCCTTTTAGATGACAAAATGATTAATACATTTGATCGGAAGTTCTCCGTCAGAGAGATCAATCATCCCCCTGGTTTGTGTCAGTGGAAAATCAAGTCATTGGCCAACTCAACTCAGACACGTCTCTGTGCCTCCCCTCTCCTCCCGATGGATGGATCCTCCTCCGGGAAGATGAATGAGGGCAGTCTGTCCCTGCTGCGCCAGACATTTTTACACGGACTGGTGGCCGGCGCACGCACACTTACGCGTGTCCTAAGGATGGACAGGACACTTGCAGGAGAGAAGAAAGGATAAGGAGGGAGATGGATGGGAGGGAAAGTAGATCCTTAGATATGAAAGAGGGCTATAAATATATATATATATACAGAGAGAGTGTGTGAATGTGTGTGTGACAGGGAGGGTATCTGGGACAGACTCTTCTACGTGTCTGTAATCTGTAATCTCATCTTTACATGAACATCTTCAGGGGAATTACATTGATGTATGATGGGAGCAGTGTGTTAACATCAATACACAAATAGGTGTAGTATGTGTGTGGTTTTCATTGGTGAGACTACTAGATGTCTTTCACCAGTTTTCGGCAGAGCGGCATCCATATTTCTTTCTTTCTTTCTTTCTTTTAATGTTTCGCTGGAGTTGTGTGATTTTCTATGAATGAATAGGAAGCCCCTGTGTGTCCGCGCTTGTCGGTATGGTGGTACCCGAGAGGCGAACCTCTGCACCACAGCTCACACGGTGCTCAAAGTGATCGGCGATTGGTTCATTCATACCTGCTCGCGCACCAGAACGTCGGCCGGTACTCTTCCGCAGCACGCTTTCATAATGCCATCCAAACCCCCCCGGAGGAATGTGCAAAATCCAGCAAAGGACTGATCATCACCCATTATGGAGGACACAATGACGGATGCACAGGCTCACAGTGACGGGGTGGAGGTGAAGTGCACCGAAAAAAACGAAAGCTATTGTGTTCGTCGAGAGGACGGAGAAAAGGACGGACAGTGAAAACAATGAATGTTCACTTCCCCCGTTCTCAAGGACGAGAATCCTCCCAACCGAACACTCGTTCTTTAGAAGGTTTTGGAAAAGTCCGGCCATGAGACTTAAAGTGTACATGAGCCTTTATGCCTCCTTGCCAGCCAGGTGGGCTGGTAAAACATCTGGAATTCTGTGCTGCATCGGGGTGCGACTGCAAAAGAGACAAAGACGTCTTTGCACAAGCACCCGCGTTGCTTTGCAACAGGTCGCGTATGGAACGAGCCGGAAGGGGGCGATTAATCGTGTTCGAGTGGACACTTTGTGTGCATTTCCGTGGTTAGCGCTGTCTGTGTGTGTGCGTGTGTGTTTGTGTGTGTCCGTGTTGCTGAGGCCCGTGCTCTCTATCCCCCAGGTAAGAGCCAGCGTTTTCAGTCCCTGCGTGGAGCCGTGAAGAAAAATGCGGCCTTCCTTCGTAAGGCGTGTGCGTGTCTGTCTGCATGGTCCAACAACTAGTTTAGAGATTTACTGGAGACGTGATCCTCGACATGCAAGCAAACTGCACCTCCTCCCCCTCTCCTCCTGCTTTTACTTCCAGTGGCTGCCTCTCAACACCGTGTGGTGGTTTATTCTCATTGTCTCGTCAGCCTTCCATTGAACAATGATCTGCTTTGCGCGTCACCATGACCGCGTTTGGTGTTGTCTAAGATGTGTGTATTCTAAGAGATGAGCGCCATCACTACGGGGGAAACAGGACAGGAAGACAAATCATTTCCAGTTTTGAGACGCAGCCACCTTCTTCCTTGATCGTAGCAAACGAAACCGTTCGCACCTGCCTGACTTTTCTACTCAATGAAACCCCCGAGAGGACAATTTCATCACGATGAAAACAATTGGGAGTGCGGTTTACACACTCTTCGTGACTCCTAAAATGTAATATTCGTGATGTCACAGTCCTCTCCCTGTCTGCACCGTTTCCAGCCACGATGACTCGTTTTAGCCTTTCTTTAAATTTCACCCGGCACTTGTCATATTATCACATTACATGCTTACTAGCTGCATAAGGGTTGTTTTAATTCAAAATATAATGTGACAACTGCCTGGAGAGCAAGAAAAAGAAACTAAAATTAAAAAATACTGTATTATTGTATTACTCTTCAACTGCATGACAACCTCATGATTGAATATTTTGTTGAGGATTTGAACTGTAAATTCACAGTCACTTTAGTTTGGTACTGGACATTTATTTTGACTGCTCGAAGTGTCTGCAGATGGCCAATGGAGATGATGGCATGGACAATTTATATCCGACTTAAGCTCTTATTCAGTATGCTGACACAAGCACACACACACAAACACACTCGTTTAGCACCCAAGGCTATTGTACTGGATACCTTTTTCATCCTTCCGTTCAATACATTACAGTTGCTGAATTCATGTGCTATTTCTTTTTTTTATTTGAACTCATTCACACCTGCCATTGCCAAGAATGAATGAATCCCTTGATTGGGTTGGACAAAGTGTGACCGTTCCATGTCTTTGTCATTCGCTCCTTCCTTCCATCCCTCTGCCTCTCATGCTGCTTGCTCCTTCCTTCCCTTCTCAAGTCTTTTGGGTTTTCTCTAACAATAGGTTTTTAAACTAGTTCAGAGCTCCATTGAGGAGAAGGCACAAGGCTGGTTTTATATTTGAAAAGCTTTCGCCTTGGGAGAGACTGGAGGGCGCCGAGTGCTTTTAACTAAGTAGCGTAGCAGCAGGTGTTATGCATTCAGGCTGGGAAACGTACTGCGTGTTCACGGCATAATATATAATAATATATTAAGGCCTATATATATATATATATATATTTATATATATACACAGATGTGGTATATATATATATATATATATATATATATATATATATATATACCACATCTGTGTACAGGTTCTTAAAACAATGACTATTTATTACTTTATTTTCTTTTTTAGGTTGGTGGGACAAAAAGATCCTTTATTGTCATAAGTGGATGCTTCTTGTTTTTATTTGTATACACTGTTCTTTGCTTAACTTTAGTGGCCTTTTGTTTGGTAGACTATAACGCTCATACAGTGCTCTTATTATTATTTTTATATAGAACTTAACACAAATGACACATTATTATCAATGATCATTACAGAATCTGAAGTAGCCTTAATATTCTTACGGTCAGGGGTGAAAATTGTTTTTAGGAAAGCAATTTATCTGGCTGAGATGTGTTTTTTTATAATACCCTCTAATTTTTTGGTGCACATCGTGTTCCCGTTTCATGCTAAGTGTCTTTTTGCAAGAGCCGGTCTTCCTCTTTATCTGGTGATATCTGCGTCTGCTACGAGGTGCATTGAGATTCGTATCGGCACATGACTCAGGTACCCACAGGGTGTTACAATAAGTGTTTGAGGTGACGGTGAAAGAGCTGCAGCTCATTCCCGCAGGCAGCCAAAGACTGACAGAAGCAATAAAAAGCAATGTATCACTTCATATCAGTCTCTCAAACAGCCCTTTTTCCTTTCCTGCCCCTCCCCTCAAGGTTCTTCCTCTGTAACACTTTTCCATCCTCAGCCTCCTTTACGTTACATTACTCCAGTATTCATCCATCCATCCATCTCTACACACTAGTACAATTAATGAATGTGTGGCTTTATAAATGATGACAGATTGGGCTCTGTGAGCTTCACACCTGTTCATGCATTTGCAGAAACAGTTCGTTTACTAATCAGCGGGATTAAAGTTTAAAAGGCAGAATCAAAAGTAATTGCAGTTTTTTTTTTGAAAACTTGCCTGCAATTAAGCTCAAACTGTCCCACAAGGTTTGCAGAAAGACCAAAATCTCCAGCTAGTTTTTTCTTCTCAGTGACCTTTGAAATCTGAAAGGGTTTTGTTTTGATTTAGTTTACTGGGAATTAAGCAATCCTTCAGTTAGCTAATAGCTGTTGCGGGGCTCGTGTCTCGGGAACTATGGCTGGTATGCACACTTACAATAAGTGCAAATGTACAGTATATAGCTTTATAAAAGATGACTTTAGCATTTATTTAATGAACAGTTCATTGACAGCATCTGATCCAGAATCCAATGCAGCCCTCAGTATTTACCTATAAAAGCCTTGTTCTCAGTGGCCTTTAAGTGTGCGCATTTCATTTGTAAAGTTGACATTTTGGAGTCCTGGATGATTTCAGCAATCCGGTAAAAACGCTGCTACGTCGACGCGAGTGACACTCACCCGTGTCCCTCTTTCTTTTTCCCTCTTTTCGTTCCATATCCTCTTTTCTTCCCCTGGGGTGTGCTTTTCTGACTCCCAGTGAGCATGCCGGCCAGCGAGAACGAATCGGTCAACACGGACAACGCGCCCGGGGGAGACGTGGAGGGGGAGACCTGCTGTACCCGGCTGGCGTAAGTACCCCACCTTCGCTGGCGCTACACCTCCTCCCCGCCCCTCCGTCGCTCTCTCTCTCTCTCTCTCTCTCTCTCTCAGCCGACCTCTCGGCCTCCTTGTCTGGTCAAGCTCGCCCCCCGGTTAGAGGGGAGCGGAGGGACGGAGGCTTTTTGTCGTCGCACTGCAGAGGGAAAAGCCCGATCGGGACCCCCCCTCGGGTGGACCCCTGATTTTGTTTGTTATTTTTTTCACAGCTAAATAAATAACTCCTTTCCCAAAAAGAATCTGTGACCTTGATGAGATGGAGGTCGGGCTAAGAGGGGTTAATCCTACAGCAAACCACGGTGCCTTGATCCTTTTGTTAAATGACCCATTGGAGGTCGGACGTCGGTTGAGGTTGCTGGATCTTTTTTTATATTTTTTTTAGAATGTAATTTTGCTTTTGGGCAAATTTTTTATGTTTAGATATAGAGTACATTTCACAAGGTCTGCAATACAGGTTTATAGCTTGTACAGTATATGGTGTATTTTCAAGCTTGTCCAGTTGTATTATGAAAAGATTTACCAGAGCGAATCACAGAATTTTAGCTTACTTACTGTAACCATTATATAGATGAATTACATTAACAACAAATTACAGAAACATTTGCACAATACAAAATGTGGAAAAGTCATGTATTTTATCTTTTTCTTCTCCCCGTCTGCCTTCCCCTCACTCCTTTTGTGCGTCTCGTAAAGTGCTTCCCTCCTCCCCGGTGGGAGCTCACGAACAGCTGACTCACTTGCTCCCGCTCCCCTTCCTCCTTTCATTTTTTAAAAAAAAATCTTTCTTTCTACATTATTGAAACAAGCGCATTGCTTTCTTTCTTAGACAGAAGGCCGTGCAGGAGCCGCGACCCGAGCGTCCCCACTTCAACACGCACACACACACACACACACCTGCATAAAGAGCGCTGCATCGCTGTGAACGTGGCAGAGAAATAATCGAGTAGAGAAGGTTACTGTGCTGTGTGGAGGTCTAGAGGTGAGAACAGAGAGAAACGGTGACGCCAGCGGGAACGTGTCGATAGGAACCACGGTCGCTCATCTGTCCATTCGGCACTTTTGTCTTAATGTTGTTTGTGTTTATTCGTCCCATCAGACCAAAAAACAAACAAACCCCTAAACGAAAAAAGGATGCACCATATCTTAGTCATCAGACACACGACGCCAAACAGAAGCTATTGTGAAACCAGCAAATTAGTCATTTGTGTAATTAATTTCAGACGTACGTTGCACCATGTTGTGACTAATCAATCTGCCCTCAATTCACCACATGAACAAATTGTTTAGTCTATAAAAACGAATAATTAAAATTTCCCAGAAGCCAATTCGACATCTTCAAATGTTGTGTTTCGTCCGATCATAATTCCCAAACCCCAAAAACATGGATGAATAATAATTCCTTTACTGTCACATATGTCAACTAAGCTGCTTGAACGCAGCGAGCAGGACTGCGTCAGTCTGTGAGTACTGAGATAGTCCATCGCCTCCATAACAGCTCTGCTTTGCTTCACTGAAAAAGCATCAGTATTAAAATACGACCGTTTTTTATCACAGCAACTTCCATCGATGTGTGAAATACAGATCGAATTGAACAGCGAACGTAGGATCAAGTTACTTTCCCATTATTAACTTGTATAGAGGAAACCTCTGGAGGTTTCAAAAGAATTCCTCTAAACGCGTCGACCTGCTTTATCGTGAACGCACTGCACAGCTTCAGCATTCGCCGTAGCAAAAGTCCCACTTGAAAACCCAAAATGAATAAGAAACCTCGCCCAGAACGCAGCGGGCCCTCACCCTTTCCCCCGCGGGAGGGCGACCAGTGCGGCCCGTAGCTGGGAGCGTCCGCTCACGCCATTAGGAGATCAATCCGAAGACTTTCGCTGTTTGTCGGTTCTTCTTCTCCGCGTTGTTTTCAGCAGAGACAGGCCCGCCGGGTGGGAAGCTACTTCCTCGCCCGCTGGTCTCCATAATGGAGACGGACACGTAGGTGAGGGGAGACGTGCGCGCCGTCAGCCTCCACATCGAGCCAGTCAGTCGTTTTTTTAATCCGTCGGGTTAGCCGGCGAAGTCATTCCACCCGCCTCAGTCAGGCGGCGGGCTCGTCGGCTGCTACGCGGCCGCAAGCCACCGCCTCGAAGCCCGCGACAGTGTGCGATCCTATCGAGTTATCTTTTAATTGCGTTGAGCAGCCTGATTAGTTGCCGGCGTGTGGTATAAGTTGAACTCAGACTCAGCAGATACGTGGGAAATGACCACCGTGGGTTTTCTTTCCTCTCCTTTTCCCTCTGCTCCTCCTTCCAAAGATAATGTCTTCCATGATCTCTTGTCCTCAGTACTTTATGTATGTACCTTCTTGCTGTTACAGTGGTGAACAATCAACAGACCTTTTTGTCATTCATACAATGTGTTTTTTTTTACACGCCAGGACCGACTGGAGGAAATCTAAACCGAAAGCATTGCTTTCTTTTGACTGGACGCCACTGTGTGCGTGTTTTCTTGGGGTGATTTGATCAAAAGACAAAGTGGGCAGAATTATCGTTCAGTTCTGTGGAAAACCAGAAGCTTTTATGCTTGATTAGTGTTCTTCACCTCACCGCCTAAACTGGCGTTTAATTGGTGATATTAAGCAACTGGATTAAACAAAAAAATGACCCCCGCTAAGTGTTTGAAGCAACATATTTGCGAGGGCAAATATCTCTCTCAAATCACCCCTTTCATGTTGTGTACCTGTCTTTGTGTGTTGTGTGTGTGTGTGTGTGTGTGTGTGTGTGTATAATCCATTCTGTTTTCTGTGTTCCAGAAATAGGATCTCCAAATCCAAGTTCAGGTTAGTACATGTTATGTAGTCTTTTTATTCACCTGCTCTAATGTCTCTACTGCTTTGGTACTTGTGTGTGTGTGTCTGTGTGTGTGTGTGTGTGTGTGTGTGTGTGTACGTGTGTGTCTACAGTCTTATAAAATGAACTAAGACAAACTGACATAAAAAGAGAGATAGAGAGAGATTCAACAAAATACAGTTACTTTCCTTTTTGCGATAAGGATGAGTAGAAAATCCATAAAACTTGTCTGTTTGGAGAAAAAAATACATTTTACTGCAAGAATCATCTTGCAATGTGAGTTGTGCCCCATGCAACATTCACCGTGTGCATCGCGGAGACTAAATATCTCATTCACGTGACGCTGGTGAAACCTGCATTTCGTTTAGGCAAAGAAGAATAACACTTGCGTGCGCTGTGAAATGTCCGTGCCTGCTGATGTGGAGAACCCACAACAGAAAGAGACGCATGATTGATTAGTGCAGTTAGACAGTGGATTCATTTAAATTGTCATGAATAGCAGCTGATTGGCGTGATGGTGCCACTGTTTGCCTACTGTGCAGGTGAGAATTGGTGCGACTCTTTGGGGGTTTAGTGCTGCGCTTAGCTGCGAAGCGGCTAAATTGTTTGTCTTTTACGCAAAGATATACCAGGAGCAGGAATTCTCCTCGAAGTGTGACTCACAGCAGGACGTTCTTCGGATTTGAATTTTGTTCCCTTCAATCATTTCATAAAAAATAAGCGGTTCTATTTATTTTTGTGCCTCAAGCCTCACTCGGCTCCTCTTGGTGGGAAATGTCTTTGCGGCTGACTAACAGCTCCACAGCTCAACGAGGGACGGCCGCGGGATGATGTCATCGCTGCTTTGCAGACGCACTAATTGACTCTTTCTTTCTCTTTTCTCTCATCCGCCGTTTGCTTTTTCCCTCCCTCCTTCACGTTCTTTTGATCATCGTCATTTTGGTTCCTCTCTCTTCTCCCGTGGGGCCTCTCCTCTTTCCGTTCTCCCTCGTCCGCTCCCCTGCTCTCTTTCCCACGTCCCTCCCCTTTTTTCCCCCACCTCCCCCCCCTTTCACCTTTCCATCGCTCAACCTCTGCTTCTTCCTCCTCAGTCGATACTCACGAAGGTGGAACAGGCTGTGTAGGAGAAAGTGCCGGGCGGGGGTCAAATCACAGGTTTTCTATTGGCTGGTCATCTTCCTGGTTTTCCTCAACACTCTGACCATCGCCTCCGAACATCACAAGCAGCCTCAGTGGTTAACTGACGTACAAGGTGCGCGAGCATGTGTCTCCGTTCACTCTGATCCGAGTGAAACGATCCCCTCAGCTGCATCGTGTTTCCTTTTTTACATTTTTTTTGTACCTTTTTATCCTTCCCCTGTTCCCTCTTTCCTCCCCCCTCAGACATAGCCAACAAGGTGTTGCTGGCACTCTTCACCGGTGAGATGCTGTTAAAGATGTACAGTCTGGGTCTGCAGGTTGGTGCCTCGGCATTATTTTCCACACAGTCAGGGAGAAAGTTTGGATTGTCCGTCAAACTCCCGTCGGCAGCATTTGCCTCGTTCAAACGTGCTCCCCTGCCAACTCTCCACAGGCGTACTTTGTCTCGCTCTTCAATCGCTTCGACAGCTTCGTCGTGTGCGGGGGGATCCTCGAGACCATTCTGGTGGAAACCAAGATCATGTCTCCTCTCGGCATCTCAGTGTTGCGTTGCGTGCGCTTGCTGAGGATCTTCAAAATAACCAGGTTTGCGTTTTGAATATGGCCGATTATCGGCCGTCCCTTTGTCCCTCCCACACGTGCATTCACCGGACGTGTCTCCCGCAGATACTGGAACTCCCTGTCCAACCTGGTGGCCTCCCTCCTGAACTCTGTTCGCTCCATCGCTTCCCTGCTGCTCCTGCTCTTCCTCTTCATCATCATCTTCTCCCTGCTGGGCATGCAGCTGTTTGGGGGGAAATTCAACTTCGACGAGACCAGACGCAGCACCTTTGACAACTTCCCCCAGTCGCTGCTCACTGTCTTTCAGGTGATGATGTCGCAAGTGTTTCTGGGCTGCATCTGTTTTATTTTTCTTTCAGCTTGGTCTGTCTTCTATTCTTGTGTCTATAAAAATGGAGACCTTCTCCAATGGACAGTGCAAACTTTGGATTCCAATGTCCTTCCCTCCCCGCAGATCCTAACGGGAGAAGACTGGAACTCTGTGATGTACGACGGTATCATGGCGTACGGTGGGCCGTCCTTTCCCGGCATGCTGGTCTGCATTTACTTCATCATCCTCTTCATCTGCGGAAACTGTATCCTGCCTCAAACAGCCCAGATAAATAAGCTACATCCATGAGAGTGAGGTCCGTTTTGCTCATGAAGCCCACGCGGAGTTTCTCTACTCGAGCAGCTCAGTGTCTCTCAGAGGGCAGAAATGTTACTAATTATCCACTTAGCCTTCCAGGTTTTCTGCAACCAACCCAAAAAATGTTCTTTTTGGTCTGCAACCTCCTTAGCTTCAACCCTCTGAACAGATATCTTGCTGAATGTCTTCTTGGCCATTGCTGTCGACAACCTGGCAGACGCCGAGAGCCTGACGTCCGCCCAGAAAGAGGAGGAGGAGGAGAAGGAGAGGAAGAAACTCGCCAGGTAAAAGGAAAAGTGGACAGACAGGAAAATGGAGAGTACAAATTCAAACCTGTTTTGGGTCTCATGAACATCAGAAGTGAGAGAGGTAGGAAGACATTTTGGAAGGGCACTTATTCGCCTAGAGGTATTTAAGGATGTGGATATTGGAGCCTTGAGATCAAAGTACTAAAAATGTGTAACAATGACATGGTCGGTTCGATTTTATTGTATCATTTTAGCGGCTCATTCACCATAAAGGTAATTTATCATCAATGTTTGATGTGAGATTTTAGTGCAGGTGAGGACGATGTGGCACAAATCATTAAATGTCTCCTTTTTGGTCACATCCTTTATTGATCCGCTGGAGAAAGTGTGGATGGAAAACAACCGCTCACTCTGTGTTTGACTGTGATTATACCGCCACATCCGCCCTGCGTGACGCAAATGCTCCTCATTGAAAATCGAAGCGCTCTCACCTGGATGGGATTCACTACACGTCGGCGGATCAACGGCGACAGAGCCGGGCTGAAGATGAAGGGGCTCCGGCGCTGATCTTCTTCTGCTACCCTCTTTCTCCAGGTTGGCCAGTCCAGAGAAACGCCACGCCAACGAGAAGCCGCCCCTGGAGGAGAAGAAGAAGGAGAAGAAGAAGAAGAAGAAGAAGGAGAAGATAGAGCTGAAGTCCATCACCTCGGATGGAGAGGCAAACACAGCGACTAAGGTACACACACGCTTTTAGTGCGCGTGTCGCCGGATACATGGACGAGTGTGTGAATGAATGTAATGCTCTCTCTCTGTCTCTGCAGATTACTATGGATGACTACTGTGGAGAAGAGAATGAAGAGAAGAACCCATACCCTGCCAATGATTACATAGGTACTGATGACTAGATTAGACAATAAACAAAATGTTAGAAAATGGCAAAAGAGTTACTCAACCCATAAACTATTGCGAAAAGGGACTGCCTCTCAAAACGGTTAAAACGATCATTCTTTTTAGTGTTGCATTTTTAATCACGCTATTTTTGTCACTTTCCTTCAAAATAGATTTATTCCAAACACGTCAGCATTCCCTTTTGTCACCATTTTACTGCCTCCTATATATAAATGAAGTCCCACTGTCACCCCCCCCATCAGGAGACGATGAGGACGAGGAGCCGGAGATGCCGGTGGGCCCGAGGCCACGACCGCTGTCCGACGTCCAGCTGAAGGAGAAGGCCGTCCCCATGCCCGAGGCCCGCGCCTTCTTCGTCTTCAGCCACACCAACAAGTAGGAGGACATGTCTAACCTTCCTACACCCTTCCCCCCTCCCCCCACCCCAATATTTTTCACCACATTGTGTTTCTTTCCGTATTTTTTTTAGATTTAGGGTTCTCTGCCATAAGATTGTCAACCACAACATCTTCACCAACCTCATCCTCTTCTTCATCCTGCTGAGCAGCATCAGTCTGGCAGCAGAAGACCCGGTCAAGAACGACTCCTACAGAAACCGGGTAACGCGCACAGTACAACGTGAATACAGTATAAACACGTAGACGGCAGAATATACACTTGTAGTCACCATTAGTTTCCCACACACATTCGTTCCGTACTAAATGTGATTACAGCCGACATTAAGGGGGACCGCAGCTTATTGTGAATGGCCTGTTACACTTGATGACTCTTCCAGAGCACTCCAACCAAGATTAACTTCATGTTAAGAAAATGTGAAATGTCTGTTCAGCTTTGTCTTTTTAATTTAATATTTCTCTTTCTCTTTATTGAGCCAGGCTGGAAACTTAACACTAACACATGCAGCCAAGAAATGTGGTTAAATTATGTTTTACTATTATCCTCCATTTCACCAAAACTATACCCATTGTACTAATAAGAAGTGACATTTATTGATTTGCATCAGGGAGACTGTATATTCAAACAGTTTAATCTCTAAACACGTCACCGTATTGCCTATATATTGAATGCAAAGACTGAGCCTGTTGTTTTTTGTATGTGGGTTTGTTTGTTGTCTCAGTGAGTAAGATCTCCTCTGAGAAAATGAAGATCTTCTTCATTGTGTGATAAAACTGAATTGGTCTTCCTCAACTGACTAATTTCAAGTCGGAAACATGCATGAAATTAAAAAGTCCTGTTTTTTGATTGCCCTCTGTATACAAAGTCTATTTGAGTCCAATTGGAATGCATTATCCTTGGAGCTGAACCTGGACATTATTATTTCAGCATGCCGTGGAGTCATCCGGGACGACGCTGCAGTGAACCTTAAGTTCAGCCCTTAACGCCCTGGAAAACAGTTGCACAAAGGCCTAGACCCTTTACACACTCTCAAATTGACAAGAATGCCTGGTCGGTTTCTTTATTTAAGTTTTGAAGGTCGCTGAATTAATTCGGCTTTTTGGCATTTTTGTTTTTCATTAAAATGAAACAGGCCACCCAGGATAGCTATTGAAATATTTTTTAAATCCCAGGGATGATATTGGATGAATTAGTTGAGCACTATGATAGAAATGGGATCCATAAACTAACAATAATGATCCCCTTTGTTGCTTTTATAGATCCTGGGCTACGCAGACCATGTCTTTACTGGACTCTTCACCATAGAGATCATTCTTAAGGTAGTATGTCATGCTTGTGATGTATGATAAGGGTTGCTTATAACCCACACAAAGTGCCACAGTATTTATTTAAAATACCCGAAACATATGTTGTAGAAATGTGCAAGATGACTGTCATTTTGCTACGCTGCCGATGAATAATATTATTAGATAATATTGAATCCCTTTGCAGTGTTAAATATAAGGCAGTTAGTGTCACTATGCATCATATAACCTGTGATTTGATCCTTCTTTAGAGTCTAAGTTGTGAACTTTGACCCCTACAGATGACAGCCTATGGGGCCTTTGTCCATAAAGGCTCATTCTGTAGAAACTATTTCAATATTTTGGACCTGGTGGTTGTCAGTGTGTCTCTCATCTCCTCGGGAATACAGTGAGTGCAATTTGATGTCGTGCATGTTTCACACTACCGTCGCATTTTAATCATTCCCTGCTCCAGCACAGTTTGATTCAATTTGTGCGCACCGACATAACCAACAATTTTTGGAAGCAATTCCAAGCGACTTCATCAGTGAAGCTTAGAATATCATCAAACTTACATTTGTGTTGGTGCATATTAAAACACTGGACTAGGCAGCCGGAAAATGACTGGTGCACGAGACACTAGTCCAGAGGCAGGAAACACATAAATCAAAGTTGTAAAGTGGCAAAGTGAGGAAAAAGCATTTTGTTAATGTCAATTGCACCGTGCTTCACACTTCTCTCTATTCTCTAACAACTTCACACCTCATTACTCCAATCCCCTTTTTCTCTTTGGGATGTTTATTGAATATGTTCACTGCTTCTTGTGGCTATTAACTCCTTGAAATGCTGTGATATTTCTGATGTTTAATACGCTATGCTACACTCTCTGTCTCTAATGCTTAATAGACTAGACTTCTCGACGTAAGTCCATATTAGTCCACATTAATAACCCCCTTAACAAACCTTCACCTCAACTGTGTAAAGCTGTCACTCTTTTGATTTGGTATTTCTATGGCCATGGAGAGTTCTAGTCGAAGCCTTTTTGAGGGGAAAAAAAAAAGAAACACAAGGCTATATGATGTCATGGTTTAGGTCGATTGTGCTTTAATGGTTATAAATGGCAAACACTTGATAGGCACCAAAAATATCTGTATTCAGGCATCAGCATAATTGGTTTTGATGCATAAATTGCTTTTTTTTCCGGGGGAGGGGGGTGTGCCCTCTGATACTCTAATCATCCGTCACATTGAGTGAGTGTTAATATGTATGTTAATCTATTGTTTGACATATCGTTATTTTTTCTTTTGGAGTGTAGGGGCCGGTGGCAATTTAAATTGGGTTCTCCTATTTCCGGATAAGTTCAACTCTCCTGGGCTATAGAAATGGCACCTTGATGCTAAGGTTTTACCTGTTAAAAGTAGTACGTGTGTGGGATTCTTCTTGACTACATATCACGGTCAAATGCATTGTGGTGGTGCTGCATTCAGTAGTGCGTATGAACTGATTCTATTTAAATATAATGCCAGTCCCAGTAGTTACTGTGAATTTCCTTACACTACTTTAAATGTATACCTCTATTGCCACGATTCCATTGAAGTGTCGGTGCTCATTGATGTATCAGGATATTGTGTGTTGACACCATTAAATGAGCTAACATCATTTCACATAACTACATTTTGTGGTCTGAATGACTTAATACTCCTATCACCTTGTATTTTTGCTTCATAGGAAAACAATTTCAAATCAAGTAGCATGTAACTGGTTACAACACTTGTACATTTGCTACATTTTAACAGTTTCAAATTCAGATGGATTGTATCACTAAAAGACATCGTCACCGCTGGTTTGACTGATTTGTTGCTGATGAAATCCTACTCCACACTGAACTACCTTTAACTGCCCTTAAACTTTACCTTCCTGTGTAAAATGTTGCACAACAGGTCTTCCCTTACTTTCTGTTTAAAAGTCGACACCGAGTAACGTCACTCCCTTTAAATCACCCCTTTAACCACCCAAAAAGTCACTCCCTTAAAAGGATACATTGACATTTTGAATGCACTTTTTTCCCTCTACCTTTGTGTCACCGTGGGGACGTTTTTGTCCTAGTTGTACAGTTCACTGAATGCCTGGCTTATCAGCTCAGCACGTTTTGCACCTGTTAACTTCACATGTTACACTTCGAAGGCCTACTGGAGAACACCAAAAGACCGACGTTACAGCTTTTTCCAAACATTTTCATTTAGTTGTACCTTTATTCTGAACTTCAAAATGTCAAAGTATTCGTTTGATTCTTTTGGTTAGTATGTTGAAACCTTTTCCTTTGAACCATGTCCTTTAGAAAGGTCACGCGCTGTTTGACCTTTGGCTTGAACTGACACTCTCTTGCAGCACAATAGTTTTTGCTTGTTTGTGCTTTTGTGTTGGTCTACCTGTGTTGTACTTGTACGTGTTTGTCCATGAAGTACATATATGTTTGTTGAGTGTTGTACTTACAAAAAACCTTTTAGAGTATTGTATTTACTATTTTGACTATTGGAGACTAAAAAGACTATTAAGCTAAAAAGCATTATGAATTTATGACAAAAGTATAGTATAGTATGTGATCATTACGTCAGTAGTGAGAATATACCAAACCATCCAATTATTTAACCACGTGTTCATAGCCTGATAAACGTGAACTTTTTGAGATTAATGTGCACATCTGCAAACGTCAGTCAACATTATATAGCATAGCAGTGACGGCAGTTTGCTGAAATGCTTCTTTGCGTTTTAGTGTGCGATCTGTAAAGCTGGTATTCTGTGTATACATATTTTCTTGACTTTTCCCGGTTTCACTTGCCTTAAAGATAATCATGGCTATTCTCAGATATAATGTTAGGATTATTTTCTTTATGTTTTGTTCAGTGTCAGATGTGACTTTTCTCTAGTTTCACTTGTATCATGATAACTTATAACGTGTTGTCTCTTCAGTTTCTTTAAACTCATGCTACAGCTTGTGTTAGCGAACCGCTACTCATCGAGTGCGAGTTGTCTCAAATATGTCTTTACCAGTAAAACGTGCGTTTGAATGGCCAGAAGTTAAAATCTGTGTGTGTTCCAGGTCCAGCGCGATCAATGTGGTGAAGATCCTGAGAGTTCTGCGGGTGCTCAGGCCCCTGAGGGCCATCAACAGGGCCAAGGGACTGAAGGTTAGAGCACGCACACGCCTGTGAACACGCAGCGCACGCGTAACAAAGGGAGCCACGGCGTTACACTCACTCTCATTTTCGGGGGGGTTGTTTTCCAGCACGTAGTGCAGTGCGTCTTCGTGGCCATCCGGACCATCGGCAACATCGTCATCGTCACCACGTTGCTCCAGTTCATGTTCGCATGTATCGGAGTACAGCTCTTTAAGGTGAGAGGAAAGGAGAAACAAAAGTCTTCAGTGATGAAGCCGTGATCACGTTTCTTTCCATACCGCTTATTAAACTTGTGTCTTTTCATCAGGGCAAGTTCTTCTTTTGCACAGACAGCTCTAAGCAAACTCAAGCAGACTGCAGGTAAGAGATCCGTCCTGCAAAACACGCTCAGTCATCTCTCCTTTATTGCATAAGTACAGTATACAACATGCGTGTGTGTGTGTCTTCCTGTATTTACAGGGGTTCCTACATTATGTATAAGGACGGTGATGTGGGGAAACCCGAAAGAGCCAACAGACTGTGGAAGAACAATGACTTCAACTTTGACAATGTGCTGCAAGGCATGATGGCTCTGTTTGCCGTGTCCACCTTCGAGGGCTGGCCAGAGTGAGCGTCTGCATTAAACACAGTTTGTTTTCATCTGCTCACTGTATGTGCGCTGGGTTTTTACAGTGTCCCGCCCTGCACTTAATCGTGTCCTTCCCTCCCCCCTCACCCCTCCTCAGGTTACTATACCGGGCCATAGACTCTCACACTGAGGACGTCGGGCCCGTCTACAACTACCGCGTGGTCATCTCCATCTTCTTCATCATCTACATCATCATCATCGCCTTCTTCATGATGAACATCTTCGTGGGTTTCGTCATCGTCACGTTCCAGGAGCAAGGCGAGCAGGAATACAAGAACTGTGAGCTGGACAAGAATCAGGTAGTGTTTTGGTCGGTTTCATATCAACTACTGCAGAGTTTGTGCACACCGTTATGAGCGTATGAGTGCAGTCTGGCTTCTTTTGTGTCGCAGTAATACAGACACACAGATCAAGGGCTCAGGATGAAGTAGAGGGAGAGTGACGGCCGTTCTATCTATAAGTGGGAAAGTCATTCTGTCATTCAGGAGTCACGAGGGAGAGGGAATGGAGGCCAGGCAGTGGGGGGTGAGACACGGGAGAGAAGAGTTTTAGCGGCTGAGCTACTTGAGGAGTGCAGCCAGGAGGGGGCTCAGCTCAGAAGATGAGACTGAAGCTTAAATAAAGAGCCGGAGTCGAAGTCCCCGCAGCTGCGTTTTCTGTGATGATCCGTGTCCCTGCGAGCACGTTGAAATCGCACAGCTGGAAAAACAGCCGGACAATTCCACAGCTTTTCCTCCACAGCGCGAGAGACGGAGCGACGAGGAGTCAAGGGAGCTACGTAACCACATAACAGCTAACGGCGAACCTGTGTTTGTGCGGGCTCACGTGTTTGTGTGTTTGTGTGTGTGTGTGTCACAGCGTCAGTGTGTGGAATACGCTTTGAAGGCACGTCCGCTGCGTCGCTACATCCCCAAGAACCCTTACCAGTACAAGGTGTGGTATGTGGTCAACTCCACCTACTTCGAGTACCTGATGTTCACACTCATCCTTCTCAACACCATCTGTCTGGCCATGCAAGTGAGTATCACACACACACGTATGCAGTGATGACTTTAGACACGTCCCATGAAGCTCCCTTCCTTTGTGGACAATAATTTGTGTTGTTGATGTGTTTTTTTTTTGCAGCATCATGGACAGACCAAAAATTTCAACGATGCCATGAACATCCTCAACATGCTCTTCACTGGACTCTTCACTGTGGAGATGATCCTTAAACTGATCGCCTTCAAACCCCGGGTAGGTCTACTCCTGTAGCCGCATAATAGAGTAGCAGTCAAGTAGAGCAGCATAGCATTTGATCAAAAATGTACAAATCAAATTACCGTTACTGATAACGTACGACCAATGTCTAGAATAGTCAAAGACTCTGATTTCTTGCACATAACCATTCCCTGATGTTGACTGACCTGCGTATTCTTAATCCCTATTGACTTTTCTCCTGATCATAATTGCCATGTTGTGAATGTAAAACATGTTTAATGGACGCCGTCATGTGGTTTTTAATCCCACTGCTCCCTCGTTACCCCGCTGTTGTTGCTACGTAGCTGTCTGGGTTTATTGGTCCAATCTTAGGACTTCCTGGTGCATCAGTAGCTGTTTAAACAGTAACAGATGGGAATGCCTCCCCCCATTACAGCAGGGCGAGTGGAAAATACTGGCACGCAATCAATAGAAAACACGTAGTCTAACATTTCATTTTTACTGAATTATTGCACAGTGCAGATTGTAAATCAAAAGATGAGCATGTTTTTACAGTTATTGATGAGTTTTTACTCTGCACTTAAGCGCACTCACTTGTTTAATAAAGGCAGGCGAGCGGGAGAAACATGAGGGTGAGATCAAACGCCCTGCTGATGGGGATTCTGTTTTCTTTCTTTTAGCTTCCCTCCGTAGACGCCGTATGTCCCTCTTATCCATTATGCTCATTCAAATCAGTACATCAAAAAAATAACTGAAATATTAGTTATTAAATATTTCAACACATTACTTTTTAGTTAGTTTTTATTCATTTTATAAAAGGAGTTCAAAGTTATTTTTAGCAACTAATGAATGGCATCCACGAAAATATCAGTTTTTGGGAGAAAACGTTTGTCATTCCCATTAGCTATAAAATCTAAATCATATTCTAAAATTGATGTTAATGTATTAAGAAGAATGAAAGATAGTTATAACTTTTATAAATAAGGATCTGCTTGAATCACTCAGGCTTGAGCATTGACCTCATGTTGCGCAGCAACAACATTTAGTTAATTTAAACTACTAGGATGAGATTTTTTAAAGCATTTCTTAAATTGTGTGTCTTTACAAGTTGTAAGCCTTTAAAAAAATATACAAACTGATATCTGTTTTTCTTCTTCCCTGAATAAAGTCTCTATATATATATATATATATAGTATAGTATATATAGAGAACTTATTACACTATATATAGTATATAGTGTAATAAGTTAAAGTGCACATTTAAACAATATCAATGAAATGAAACGCACTTAATTTGTGCGTGAGTGAGATGCAACTTAAGGATGTTCCTATTTTTCATTGTCTTGACCTCGTTAAAACCCCTCCGGCCCGCGCAGAGGACCAGCTCACTAACACTTTTGCTTCCAGGTAAAAGAGTCGTCAACACAACGAGTGGAATCACCTCCAGTAACATTTGTTTTATCGGGGGAAAAAGCTGTGCTAATTCCTTTTAACTTTTGTACAGGTTTCAATGTCTCAGCCTCGTTCCTCAAGCTTTTTTTGTGTGTGTCGTTTGGGTTCGAACAACTGAGTACATTGTCGATTCTTTGGGGGGCGTTTCCTCTCAACTTGTCCAATCGATAATCTATCACTGCGAATTGGCTTTTGAATATTAATGCTAAATTCTATTCATAAACCCTGATTTGACCTTAATATTCTTACACCTTCAACCAACTTAAAATATACCTCAAGTCCAGGAATAATCATTAATATCTGCACGTCCTTGCTGATCCCTTCCCCCCTGATGTCAGGTGATTAAGCTTTAAATGTTATGAGTAAGATCAACCTTCACTCAGACTATCTGCAGTTGTCCAATGACCTGCCTAACATCTGAGCGCCATTTGTTTGATACGATTGTTCTGTAGTTGAACAACAGCACATAGAAAGTGTAAAATGTAGAAGCATCACATCTCGTTATCCAGACTGTGATCTTTCTCAGATTCTTCCAATCGTCTCACCCTGTGTTGGATCCCTCCCGCCTCTCCCAACTTCACCATAATAAAGCTGTGTCTCAACACCAGAACGTGACAAAACCCTTCTAAGCCGCAGCTCCTTTTACAGCACATCAAATATGCTTTTATTCTACCGCCCTAAATAATAGCACCGTTTTGGCCTGAAGCTGCGTGGCTCTTTTTTCACAAATACTCACTTTGTACTCCTAATGATGATGAATTACTCTCAATAAACTAAACAGACGTGTTACTTCGATTACTTCCATCTAACACGCCATAATGGAGCAGGAAATCCAACCGATACCCCAAAGGAAACCAGTTGGTCCCGTTCGCTGGGATTAAAAATGTGTCCTTTCATGTGTCGGTTCATCGGCCGATTTATTTTGTTCCGCGTCCTCTGTGTACTGTGCAGCCTCATAACACCTTAATAGGGCTGCGAAGTGGCAGCAGATGTTGTTTTCCTTCTAACCTACCTTTCTTACCCTCCTCCTCCTCCTCCTCCTCCTCTTCCCGCTCACCTCATCCTGTGTAGGGGTACTTTAGTGATCCCTGGAATGTGTTTGATTTCCTCATCGTAATTGGCAGCATAATAGACGTCATTCTCAGTGAGATCAGCGTAAGTACGATGCCCACCCTCGCTCTCCTTGTCGCTCCCTCTTTCTCTCTCTGTCTCGTGTTCTCCTCGCTTCTTCTGAATCCTTCATCTCCTGCCCACTCTCCTCTGGTTTGTGGCTACCCTGCGTTGTGTCGTCCCGTCCGTCCTCTCTGTACTCTCGTCCTGTTTTTTCCACTCGCTCTTCTTTTCTCTTCTTCTTCCTTCTTCTCCTTCTCTCCCCCCTCTCTCCCCCCTCTCCCCCTTCCAAGATGGCCACTGCTACTCAGGGGACCGCTAGGTCCACCACAAGGGTTCCTGAGCAAGGACAAGCCTCCTCCTGGGTGTCTTAAAAAGTAGAGTAGGCCGAGCGTTGACCACTCAGGGTTCCTGCTTTGCGTCCTTCCTGATTCCTCACAGTAACCTCAGATGTTGTCGGGTTGTTAATTCTTTGTCCGCTCCATATCAGACTGTGACATGTCCTCAGGTTCGAATTCCCTCACTAACTGAACTAACTCACTGACCAATCACAACGAGACTTACGCATCTTTTTTTTTTTTTAACCACAGCAACAGGAGCGTTTTGTTTTTTTAATTTCTTTAATTTTTTTTTTTGTGATTTCGTAGCGATTTATCCTGTACTGTTCCTGTTGTTGACATTTTCCTCTCATGGACAAGCATGACCGATCGCCGCTGCTCTTCCTGCTGTCCATCTCCGTTAGACCGCCCCTACTTTTATTTTTTTGCCGTTGAATTTTGTTGATTCTTTCCCTCTTTCCTCCAACTAAAAACTCCAATGCTCATGTATATAATGTTTTTATCTTATTTTTCTCCTCTCTCCTTTAATTTACGTTCTTTCCATTTTTTAAATGTCTTATGTTCTGTCCTTTTCTTCTGTTGTTTTTCTGTTCTTTCCACCCCTACGCAGCATTATTTTGTTGATGCATGGAACACATTTGATGCCTTGATAGTTGTGGGTAGCATTGTTGACATAGCGATCACTGAGGTTAACGTAAGTAGTCCAACTCCTTCCCTCCCTTCCTTCCTGCCTGCCTGCTCTGCCATTCCCACACACGCACACAAACAGACGGAGCGCCGATACCCATCTCGCATGCTTTCAAATGGTTAGGAAACTCCAGCTGCACCACGTTTGAACTCGGGCGGAGAAAACGTCCAGATGTTGTGCAATCAGAACGAAGCATTTACACATGTGAAATCCTGAACACTTATGCTTTGGTAACTTTGACCCTTGACGTGGTCCCTTTTGATTTGAGGATTTGGCATCTTGGCTGTCGGGGAACGAGCCTCTTCATCGTTACATTATGTTATTATTTTTGTCAAAATGTAATGTTAAAAAACGAGGGATGCAGAAGGGAACCTCCGTTCCTCTTCCAAAACCCACTTGTTTATCTCCTGTAGTGCCATGAGGCGGACGTTAAAACTATTTTACAGTATTTCATTCAGGTTTTCTAATATTTGAAATGGCTGCGGATAGGTATTCATCCCTCGGCCTGCTGAGCATCAAAGACTATTGCGCTTGCCAATAGAACCTATTGCATTCTCTAAGCACCTTTTGGCTTGACCTCACATTTATCTGATCTTTTATCATCGCCACAGGGGATAGTGTCCATTCCCCTGGCATGATGGACACTGTATGGCATGGCAGATGTAAAGGTGGTATATCCAGGCCTCACACTGCACACAATGTTTACAGAGAAGATCCACATTTTCCTGGGAAGCGGGATTGAATACGGATTTTTGAACAATTGCGATTTGACCGAAAGGTCACCAATCGCTCTCAATTCATAAATCACCAGCAAAACTTTAAATTAAAACGAGGGAACGAGTTGCAGGTTTTTTTTTGTCCCACAATAGTAATACGCAGACGTGGGGAACAATTTGATCCATAAATAGATTTACTCAGGAACCGCGAAATTTATGTAAATGTATGTATGAATTCATTTATTATTGACGCGGAGGCTCTGTGGTCAACAGTGGGGCTGAATAAGAATGAATATCCCAAATACAAGTCAAATGTTGAGTGTCTATTGGATTTACACTTCAGGGAGAATTTGTTTTATTCATGTGATATTCAAAGTGCTCTTTGGCAGGAGAATAGGCTGACAAGCATGCAAACTGTCTCTGGACAGAACTCTTAATTTAGCCTTAGAAGAAGAAGAACTCTTAACGTGGAGGGCAACTTGTTGCAGTAGGTAATCATTTCATGCTATGTTTGGTCCCAAATTTCACATGAAAGAAAAGGTGCAAGCTCTCTGAGCTTCTAACTTTGATAAACATTGTACATTTGTTCCAGCCAATGAAGCCGCTACAAAGCGATAAAAACAGGATTTAATCTCTTCCAAATGCAGCACTTACATGTTAAATGTAAATGGTTAGGCCGGCAATGCTGCTAAAAACCCACAGCGGGTAATTTCAAGACTTTGCTTGGTTATTTTAGGTTTTATTCAGCCAGTGTAGTTATCACATCACTACATCAGGGCATTGAAGAGGCAATAGAGGAGTGTATAAATATGTTCATAGACACTTAACAGAGAAATGTCTGTTGGGATCGTGTAATAATAATGCCTTTATACTGACGTTCAATGGGCCAGAGATATGCATCTTTGTCATCAATACAAGGCACCGATGTTGCACTTTAACGCTTTGGTTTGGAATTTGCCTTTGATTTGTTTTGATTGATTTTGTTTGATTGGTTTGCGTGTTTCATGATTATCTTCTCTCATCCCTAACCTCAAGGCATGCCCCAAGTCTTTTCTCCTTTTTTTTATCTTCTTCTCTGGTGGCTTTTAATGACTTGGGTGATGAGATGCCCCAGCTTCCTTTTTCTATTTGTCCTTTTTTAAGAAACCCCACCTCAATCCTCTGAGAACTCCTTTCTGTTTTTGATCCGGGACCCTGTCACTGAGACATTTCAGATTTTAGCCTGCTTCTGCATTTTAACGAGGCAATAAAGCACAAGGTGAATGCTTTCCAACGTACTGAGCAATGCAATTAGAAGCTAATGGTAGGAGCTTGCCAACAGCCACCTCTCTGTCATCGCATGCCGAAGTACACAGCGGAGTGCAGTACCAGGCCAGCTTCTTAAATGTTCCCACTTTGCCTTAAGCAAACGTAAATACATGGCTAAAATCCCCCGTTTGAGTGCACCCACTTTGCTGCTCTGTTGGGTGCTTGCTGACTTGGATTAGCCGCACTTTTTGTGGTCACCAAATCAGAAATATTCCTTAATCATAGGGTCTCTAATTCTCCCCAGCAACCTGTGGGTGCTTCTTAAATCATACATGGTTTCTTTTACGTTTTTTGTTTTGAGTAGAAGTAGTGTGGACAGATTCGTAGTGGTTTGCTCTGAGCGGTGTCTTGCAGACGATGCCAGTATGGACTGCATCTATTTCCTCCTCTGTTCGGAATGCCTCCTCTTTCTCTTCTCCAGCTCCCTCATTCTCTTTCTGAGCTTTTTCAGTTCACTTAACTCTTCTTTTATGGATGTTTATCTCTGTCTTTCTCTGTCTTCTTTCTCGTTGGTTTGCGGTGCTGCTTGCTCACCTGAAATGCAAGCTGGGTAACACGGGTCTCTCATACTTTCATATATTCTAAGAGGTCATCCAATTACCATATATATATATATGTATATATTTGTGTATATATAAATATATATAACAATATATATATAGACATATATGTATAAATACATACATATATACATAGTTAGTGTTGTTTTTCTAATAAGAGAATGAAAATGCACTATTTCAGTATTACTTACTTGCTTAACTTAAAGTGTATGGATCAAACCTAAACCTCAATTCAAGGGTAATAATGTTCTCAAGAGACCCATTTTACCTTTTGAACTGACTGAACTGATGAAATTGCTGCTTGAAAACACAACATGCAATGTGAGAAAAAGGCTCAAGGTAATTTAAGATGAGCTCATAAATCTGATGAGCTGCAACTACAGTTACCCACATCTGAACTGTAGTTCAGCCCTCTTTATATTTATTTTCAAATTGATTGTTTGGTCGAATTTAAAACCCATGCCCAGTTACCCAAAGTCCACAGAAGACTCTGGATGCTGTTACTCCATGAACACAAATATGATAACAACTGATTTAATTTTATGTGGGTTTGCTTTGATTTACCCTCAAAATTGAAGCAAATTAAGATTTTAGTTATACATTTATCCATCTGGACCTGTGTGTCATTACAATACTTACACAAGGGACAGACACACAAGTCCCCCCTTCCCTCCCCATTTCAGTTTTGATTTAGTCTGCACTTAGTGTGAAACAGGGCCATCATTCCTCCCTTTCTCCGTCCTTCCTTCCTCCCTTCCTTCCTCCCCATCTTTCCAACTCATCGAACTTCCCCTTTATCCATCGCTCTTCCCTCCCTTCCTTTCCAGTTGTCCTTCCCCACAATGTTCCCTCCTTCCACACAGCAAAACCCCAGTAGAAACACACACACGCAGGCCCGCACAAACACATAGACCATTAATAAATAAGAGTTTACTGAGCAAACATAGTCGCCTGTTCCCCTGCACATCAGTAATGTGTGTATGGCTCTGTGAATTCTTCACTAAGTGGTGAGGTATTTTAACGGGACCAACAGCAAGGGGTGAACGGCTCCTGAGTCATAAATTAAACTGGTGTCAGATACTGTAATACAGGAGAGGACCAGTGTGAGTCACAATATGTTATCTTTGTGCTTCTAAATGTTATTTAAACGCCAGTGGGCTCCGATTTCCAAACGCATCTAAAATCACAGAGATGATCTGCCTTTTTCGTGTCGTGCTATTCTGACGTACCTTTACCTAAAAGTTTCCATTGGATCTTGGCTATTCTCAGGTCAGAGGAATGCTTGAATAGCGCACGACAAAAGGCGGCATCGCCCTTTTAATGCCCCGATGCGTTTGGTGAACACGAGTCGAGCTAAAGTGTTACTGTACTTTAGCTTCAGCTGGCAGAAAGAAAGACAGATAGCTACAGAGGCGCCCTCTTATCGGCCGTCACACACACGCACCCACGGGCCCACGTACGCAGGCAGCTCGCCCCCCCCGGCCCTGATGACCTTTCTTTTACTGATTTTCACATAAACCCCTTAAAAGACACAAACACTGCACACACACACACGCACACACACGCACCAAGGCGCTGCTCTCGTGCTGATCTTTGTTGCCTTTCCTTAAAGCCAGCTGACTCCTCCTCGTCATCGTCCTCTTCCTCCTCGCCCTCCTCTACCTCCTCCTCCTCTCACCCCCCTGTGGTAAGGCCAATGGTACGCTCCGACGGTAACCTCGTCCGCCTCCCTACCTCCTCCATCACCCCCCTCACCCCCCCATACCCTCCATCCTCCCATCCCTCCTTCCATGGGTGTGATCCAAAAAAGTTTGGGCCTGTTGTTCGTCCCTGTCCCCTCCTCCTCTCTCTCTCTCTCTCTCTCTCTCTCTCGCTCCGGCTGTCATCTTCTGCAGCATGTCCAGAGTCCTACTTTATACAGCCGTTGTTTTACATGTATTTATACGTGAATAAGCGTGTGAGTGGCGAAGGACGCTGTCTTGTGCAGGCCGAGTACAACTGGAGTCGTGTGACTTTCCCTGAGTGACAATTGTTGTTGCCATGGTTGCCCGCTGCCCTCACCTCCCCCATGGCTTGCATCTTGCTCCCCCTTCCCTTATGGGTGTGGTACCTTTAGTGCTTCGTCATGAGTGCAAGCCATCATGGTCACGCTACCACGCTGCTCTCCTTCTCTTTCACTCTTCTCTACCGGCCTGCTGTCTATCTTATCTGTGGATTTGTTTGTCTGAATAATTTGTTTGTCTGAATAATTCAAACTATTCTTCATATTCAGACTCTCTCTCTCTCTGTTACGCTTACTGTCACTGTACCTCTCCCGCTCACTGCCCCGCTCTCTTAACGGTGCAACGGTCCCCATTGTGGTCCACTTGTGGTATTACTTTTAACCTACACTCCTCAAGAGGGACGTGTCATTTTCGGCATATCTGTCGGTGGAGTTTGGGACAACTAATGTCTGGGGTTACTTATTAACACAGCTTGATGACGCGTTAGACGTCCTAAAGCACCAGAAATGCTGCCAGTTATCCCCGAGATATACCGCATGATATTAACATTTTTCAACCTTTGATTTCCCTAGAACATTTTTCGAATGATAAGCAACACATGGCATTGGTTATCCCAAACTTCCAGTAAGATGTCCAGAGAATGGCGTGTTCTTTTTAGGACATAAAGAATTTATGGCCTCATGGAAAAAAAACAAATGGCATGAAACCGATTTAGAGGAAAGGTACGACGATCCTGTGTGTTTCTATCCCGGTGAAGAAACACATAGCACGGAACTACATTCTTATGGTACGAGTGTTTGCATTTCCATGTGGTCGGGTTTGTGTTATGCATTCTTGCGGATTTGCGTGGAAGAGTGTAGCAATGTGTGACTGTGCAGTTGAGTCGCTGAGGATGCGGTGGCTCTGTGAACACTATCTTTGGCTTCACACGACCTATCCGCGGTGGGAGTATGATTTGATTCGTGTGGAGGGTCCTCCGTTGATGTATTAGCTGCATCGTGCTTTCCACGTATCCTTATGTGGCCTTTGTTTTTCTGACTTTGTTTCGCCGAGGAGTGAGCAGCAGCAGCAGCATGAATATCTAAATCCGTATTAGAATAGCACTCAGCGAGATGGCTGAATATTTCATCACAGAGTTATTTCCTGTGGATGAGTTTAGGATTATAGACCGTTAGAAAGCTACAGAGCCTCTCAAGCTTGTTCTTCAGAGCTTCACTTTGCAACTTTTTGAAATGAACCTAAAAGTGGTTTCTTCAAACATAGTGATTGCAGGCGTAAAAGGAGATCACAGTCAAAGATGAGGACATTAACCGCCATTGAAAACGTTTTTTTTCAGTGGCTGAATTCAGTATTAATATCTTTATCCACCTGACAAGCGTCTTGGGATTGTTTCTGCCGGTGGCCACGTGGTGCAGATAAACAATTAGCCTCCCTGGCTCATTTATCAAGGGAATTTGCATGCAGGCTTGGATTTTCGTACTGTATCTGTTGTGAATTGTTATCAGTGATGTAGGAATTGGATCGATTGTATCGATGTTACGCTCCCCGGGCCGATCTCCTCTATTAGACTTTTAGTCCGTACCTATGCACAGTAATCAACTCTTTCAGCTTAGTAAGATTGACTTCATGCCACAACCAGATGTATCGGTAGAGACTGATGGAGTGCTTTGATATTTCAGCGTGGTGCCTTTAAAGACGTAGTATCTGCATGTATTTAGGAAGCTGGCGGATTAATTGTAAATCGCTTTGTTGCCATTTGATTTTTCCATGAAGCCAGAGAAATGAGCACGATGGCCCGTTTTTCTCCCAAATCTCTTTTGTCAGTTGGTTTTGTAGGACGCAGATCTCCAATTATTAACTCTGTGTGTGTGTGTGTGTGTGTGTGTGTGTGTGTGTGTGTGTGTGTGTGTGTGTGTGTGTGTGTGTGTGTGTGTGTGTGTGTGTGTGTGTGTGTGTGTGTGTGTGTGTGTGTTTGCGTGTGTGTCGTACACATTTACATCCACACTTGGGTGGGGAATATGTATATGAATGTCTCGCGTCCGTCTTCACTTCACCGGTTTGTTTTGCTTGTGTATGCTTGTATGTTCATGTTACCTGTGTGTACGCGTGTGCGTGTGCTTCCCTCCTTTACCTATCTGCATGTGTTCCCATGCGTCCTGTGTTTTTTTTTTTTCTTCTAAAAAAAAAAACACCAAACCCCACCAAAAGGGACTGCAGAACTCTGAAGAGAACGCCAGGATCTCCATCACCTTCTTCCGGCTGTTCCGCGTGATGAGGCTGGTGAAGCTGCTGTCTCGCGGGGAAGGGATTCGGACCCTGCTGTGGACCTTCATCAAATCCTTCCAAGTGAGGGGCGAACCGGACACAACATGCTAGAGCGGGGCGTTGGGTTTACGCAGGACTAAATGCTGCAGCGAGAGCGGATCTTTAACCCTGATGTCGACCAGATTAGAGCCCCTTGTTTTGACCCTGAAGCACTATTTCAGATCTCAGATTTTGTGATCCAGACTATGCATACTTTCTAACAAGGCGATTACCTCATTTATATGTATTAATACTGCAAACTGTCACATTGGGCTTAAAATATCCTGGTTCTGGTGTAAATCCAGCCTGGTGGAGTCTCACAAGCCGCCTCTCCTTTCCTTCCCTCCTGCCTCCTCGTCCCCACCGCCTATTTTTTGAAAGAAATCAGAAGGATGAGACAGTTTAGTCTAGATGGGGAAGAAGGGAAAGAAGGCGGGATGGCGTAAGGTAACGGGAGGAGGTTTGGGGGTCCTGTTGCAGAGGCGGGGAGGGATCAGTCAGGAACTCAAGAACCTTAACCAGCAACCTTTCTTCGCTTTCCTACTCATCTCTTCTTCCTCCACTTCTTCAACTCTCCTCCCCCTACACCCTATCACTAACCCCTGAAAGACCACCACTCCCTGTAGGCGAGTTGAGCAGTAGATTAGTTTAACAAAGCACTCCACCAAAAAAAAATGAAATCATTTGATAGAGAGTTATGGGGAATTTAAAATAATCTCTGTCTTCGTGTCATTGAAATTAGAAACAAAAAGCAGACTTGTGTTGTGGTTTGAAAACAGAAGTGCTCATGAATATATTACTGCACTTATCACAACCAACCTACCGTAAGATCATGGTAATTTATCCACACGCTCTCACGGCTGTGTGGAGATAGAAAACAAACCTGCCTCTGTCATGTTTGGGGGGGCACTGTACGTCGGGACCGATCCCCTGGCTAAACTCAGAGAATCACTTCGAAGTCACATTTGTCCGCCGTTGTTTTGGCGTCGTGCCAAGTCACTTCACTTTCACTTCAACAGCTCATTTACAAAATATAGAAAATACATGCGACATTTCTCAAGCCTTTCAACAAGAATTTCCTAAATCCTTCGTAGACTAATTGGACGTGTTGAAATAGAATGGAAGTGAACGGACGGCGGCCCTGATGCAGGACAACACTGTGCACAACTTGCCACTAAAGTGTCTCTCTCTTCTTTAGGCTCTGCCCTACGTAGCTCTGCTTATAGTGATGCTATTCTTCATATACGCTGTCATCGGCATGCAGGTAAGCTGTTGTCTTGTCCCCTCGTTTCCCCTCCCTCTTTTTGTGTTTTCTCTCTCTCCTCCAGCTGGCCTCCATCCTGTGTCTGTCCTCCTGGAGTCTGGAGTCTTTTTTCCGGTCACGTCGTCCCTCTGTTGCTGTTTTACGTCTCTCTCCTCATCCTCTCGTCTATCCTCTTGTGTGTTGTTCGTACCGATGGCGGTGGGAGGGACAAGCGGCCTCTATCTGTGACCATGACTTCCCCCTTTCAATGCTGACGTCATATCCTGTGTGCTGTGACAACTCCCCCCCTCCCCCATCTCCTCCTCCCGTGCAGATGTTTGGTAAGATAGCGCTGCGGGACCACACGCAGATCAACAGGAACAACAATTTCCAGACCTTCCCTCAGGCGGTGCTGCTGCTCTTCAGGTGAGGATAGATGACTGCGCTGCTCATCCTCGGTCCTTTTCCCACTCCTCTCAATATTTACATTTTTGTTTAGTTGGGTCAAAGTCATTATCCTCCTGCTCTTCTCCTTCCTCCATCTTTATTTTTACTTTTACCATTTTTGCTCCCCTACGTTTATTTCTCTTCTTTTTACTCTGAAAAGCATTTATATTTTCATGAGAAGCGACCACTGACATTTCATGACAGCAGCTGGTTAATTAAATGCCGGCGATTTCTGTAAATTCTGCCGACTTCTGTGACGTGACTCTGCGCATGAGCGAAGGTGGGATAACGTTTCGTCAGTGAGTGCAATGAGCAGATGTAACTGCCACCCTGCCATTCCAAGTATGTAGCAGTGTTCTGCCACAGACTCACGAGTTACTTAGCAGCTTTAACACCTTCTAAAAGTGTGCGCGTACACCTGTTTGTTCAGGGGTTAGCTGATAATTGCTGTAAACCAATGTTTCTGGTCCCCTGAGGACAGCACTTACTTCAATTGTCAGGGGGTTGTACTGATAATACATTGAAAGGGCCTGGAGCCAGTCCCAGTAACCTCTCTGCCCTGTGTGGTTGCCACGTGGCTAAGATTCCATGCACGGTTAAATAAACACACAGAAACTGAAAGGATGGCTCTAATGTGATAAAGTATTGTATTCTTTTTGGAAGCACTTTGCCATGAAATCATAGAGAGTATCTATTCTATTTGTCCATAATCTATATACTGACCTCTTTATGCAATAAAACATAGCGATGGGCTTCCATTGAGAGAAGGTAGGAGGCCTGGGTACTTCATTCTGCTATTTATAGCAGTAAATAATAGTGAAGCCCGGCAAAAACGATCACTCGAACAAGCAACTGTGGAGTTTAGTCAGCTGAGTCGTTCTGAGAGACAGTTGTAGTTTGGACAATGTGAAATAACAACGCGTGAAATCATCGCTGCTGCTCCGTAAATTCAAATACCACAAAACAACGAGGATCGGATTTTTTTGCTCTCAATGTTGAATCTAACACGTGTGCGTATGTGTTTGTGTGTTTCTGCCTCTCTCTGTGTTTGTTACCGCGTGTGTGTGTGTGTGTGTGTGTCTCATATATGCTCCTATGGCCGTGTGCATGCACGCACACATCCATGCGTCTGTATTACACGTCCTGCATAAATGCACATGGTTGCACACGTGCTCAAATCTATGCAAATGTGTGTACTTCTAATGTATCCGTTTCATGTCATCGCATGTGTATCCACGTCAACGTGTGCACACGTGTTCGCATGCATGTCTGTCTGTTAGATGTGCAACCGGTGAGGCGTGGCAGGAGATCATGCTGGCGTGCTCGCTCGACCGGCCGTGTGAGAAGGGATCAACCAATGAGAACAACATGACCAGGACGGACGAGGACTGTGGCAGCCAGTTTGCCATCATTTACTTTGTCAGCTTCTACATGCTCTGTGCCTTTCTGGTGAGTGCAGTGAGACCGGAAGGGATTTCATTCTATATTTTTTTAAACAGACAGTATTTGACACGTGTGCTGGAATCAACAACCGCACTTCCAGAAAATTAGTCTTTTCAAAGAGGAGGAGAGATCTTGGTACTGTCGAATGTTCTGTTTATTTTCCAGCCTTTTCCAAAATGTCGAACCATTCCTTTGTAAAGTAATAACTCATTCCTGCAGATCATCAACCTGTTTGTGGCCGTCATCATGGACAACTTTGACTACCTGACGCGTGATTGGTCAATCCTGGGGCCTCATCATCTTGACGAGTTCAAGAGGATCTGGGCTGAATATGACCCAGAGGCTAAGTAAGTTCACAGATAGTTAAGACATATGGACCATCTGATTCATTATCCGCATGCAGAGAAGGTGTAGAGAGTTACTATGATGTGACCCATGCACTGTTTCCAGAGGGAGAATAAAGCACCTGGACGTGGTGACTCTGCTGCGGAGGATCCAGCCTCCGCTCGGCTTCGGAAAGCTCTGTCCACACCGAGTAGCCTGCAAGGTAGACATGCGTCATCAACTGTCCCCACAGATTCCACTTTTATCAGTCTGTAGAAATCAAGTAATCAGAATTAATTCTGTAACTATTTTTGGGTGGGATTAAAAAGAGTTCATTTAATTTGCCAGGTGTGAGTAATATGAATAAATCTGCGGTGTCATTGGCGTGACGCATTGACAGCTCACAACACCTTCCGCAGTGACTCAAATGGCAAATTGACAACAGATTGTACAGAGAAAATATTTGAGATATTCAGACATTGTCGTCTCTCTTGAGGAGCGTTAATAGTGGCCGCTGTGTCAAACCACTGTCTGCTCATTTTCAACAAACTTGAGCCAGCTGCCAAAGGATGCTGGCAGTTCCCACAGGAAATGTTCCTGTTTGTATTTAAAACTCCATCAAACTAAATTCTCCATCTCACGCAGCGCCTGGTGTCGATGAACATGCCTCTGAACAGCGATGGAACAGTGATGTTCAACGCCACGCTGTTCGCCCTGGTCAGAACTGCACTCAGGATCAAAACGGATGGTAACGGTCTCACACAAACCTCCAATGCACGTGCAGGTTCCGGTTACTCACTACGCACACAGGCGATGGCAGGAGCATTTGCATGTATGAATATATTACGTATCGTCTGCTTCTTCCTAACCACAGACAGCGCCGTGGATTAATCAATACACTGCAGTTAGGCTCCTGTTATTTGTGTTCCAGGCCATAGATTCTGGCTCTGCGGTCGATTGGCATGTTAATAAAGGGCATGCGTTTTTTCACCCCTCGGATCGCCTAATGACGGTATTTATGCTGTCCGTGTGTGTGCAGGAAACCTGGAGCAGGCCAATGAGGAACTGAGGGCGATAGTGAAGAAGATCTGGAAGAGAACCAGCATGAAGCTCTTGGATCAAGTAGTGCCCCCTGCAGGAGGTATGTACGCACTGCGGTGCCGTCTATGAATTAGCAAAATCAAATCCCGTGATGAATTATTTTTGTAATATGATTTTTTTGTTGCAGACGATGAGGTAACAGTCGGAAAGTTCTACGCTACCTTCCTCATCCAGGAATATTTTCGCAAGTTTAAGAAGAGGAAAGAGCAAGGCCTTGTGGCCAAGGTGGCCCCCAAAACCGCCCTTTCTCTGCAGGTACACAAACACAAGAGGTTGCATTGCATCATCTGAACGATGAAAGAAATGTCTGCACGTACACCATGAAAAATGCTTCTTTCTATGAATATCTAGAAGATTTGGTTTTGTACAAGCTACATCTGCCTTGTTTGTAAATAGTAAATAGAAAAGCGTGTAGATCATTTCATAGAAGTGGAACACTTGTGTGTGTTTGGTCTGTGCGTGTGCAGGCAGGCCTGCGGACTTTGCATGACATTGGTCCAGAGATCCGACGGGCCATCTCTGGAGACCTGACGGTGGAGGAGGAGCTGGATAAAGACATGAAGGAGCCTGTGTCGGCCGTATCCGAGGATGATATCTTCAGGGTAAAGGTTGGATACACACACCCTCACTCACTCTCCACAGGGAGAGAGAGAGAAAGAGAGAGAGAGATGATCAGCGCCCAGCTTGAAGCCATTTTATCGCTCCATGCACATACACAGACATGCCTCCACGTGCTCAGACGGTCAAAAATACATTTAAAAAAACTCATTATCGTGCACTGACACTTGGTTGCCAATCGCTGCAGATACTCGAGTAAGTTTAAGTCATCGTGTGCATTTAGAAGCTCATCTAGTGGCCAAAAATTGCAAAACAGAAACAACAATTAAGCACTGTAAATGTAACCCTCTGACAGAAACTACATCCACGCGAACACCGCTTCGCTCCAGTGTCCATGTCATTGCCACTTTTCTGTGCACTGTTCTGTCTAGTTTTTACGTATTAATACACATAGACTAACGTATTTGGGAAACTTCATTTAATTATAAACAGAATCACACCACTCCTTTAGACGCTTTGCTGTTATGAAGGATTATCGTGGTTTGAGGCCAAGATTCATCATCATTTTGCTCCCGTGTAAAAGGTTGTTTCTATTAAAGGCTTATTTCTAAGTTGGGAAAAGAACCTCCCCTTGGTTTGTGACAACAGGCCTTTGCTTTGCATTTCCATCCTGGCTGAGTAGAGCTTTGTTGCGGCAAGCAGTGACTGAGTCTTTGACTGTAGTAAGATATTTTGACTTAAACATTATTTAAATTCCGTCTCTTTCCTCCGTTTTCATCTTCTTCTTTTTTTTTTGTCCCTGACCCTCCCCCCTCTCGCCCCGCACAGCGTACGGGTGGCCTGTTCAGCAACCACGTCAACTACTACAACCAGAGCGACGGCCGCGCTTCCTTCCCACAGTCCTTCACCACCCAGCGGCCCTTGCACATCAGCCAGAAGGGCTCGCCCTGCGAAGGCGACAGTCCGTCCCACGAGAAGCTCGTGGACTCGACCACTTTCACGCCTTCCTCTTACTCCTCGTCGGGCTCCAACGCCAACATCAACAACGCCAACAACACCGGCATGGTCGGAGTGGCGCCCCAGGGCATCAGCCGATGCCCGTCCATAAGCACTGTGGACGGGCAGACGGGACCGCCGCTCACCCCCATCCTGCTGCCGAGGTCCGCGTGGTGCTTTCCTCCAAAGAGGTGAGTGCAGGCTGCACAGCAGTCGACGCCGCTTGTTGGATTGTTGTTTCGTCTTTGTTCCTTTGTTCCTTTCATATGGTTTTCCTATAATACATATTAACCAGCATGACCTTTAGGAATGGTTCTTCCTTTTCCCTTCACGTTGTCTTTCCTTGCTCTTCTTTTCCCCCTGTCTTTTTGTCTCTGGTGGCGAGCAGGACGTGTTTTTTTGACAACCTCATGCGGTATGTTGCCAGGGGACAGAGAGAAACGTGTGTGTGTGTGTGTGTTGTGTTAGTCCCCTGACTGCGTGCAAAAAAGGTTTCATAATGCTACATAACCTGCCAGAGGTCTATTGTGAGATTTGCTATGCACATAATGCTTCAGTTGCTATAGCAAAAGCCGGGCTCTGTGCTGCTCCTGTAGAAACGGCTACCAAAGCCATGGATGGACTGTTTGGTGCCAGCGCGGACAAACATTTCTTATCGAAGGCTTTTATTGCTGCTGTTCTCTGCTGTTGAATGCCAGGTCTGGGTTGAACACAACACGTGCTCCGTGTCCCATATTCCGCTCTTTGTTCAATGAACTTTGCCCTGGAGGGATGATTGCTAATCGATTTTGGTGAAGAAATATCAAAGTATGAGGCGTGTAAAGGACCACCATGTCCACTGGGCACCGAGTGGAATCGTTTTCAATTTTAGACACAAGCTTTTCTAAGCGTTTCACATAATGCGACAGGCAGGTCGCCTCTGCTCTATTAGCACCACCACCAAGACAAACGTAATAACAGCCCCACTCTGCTTTGCTAAAACATGAACCCTGCATACAAATACCAATAAAATAACAGAAAACTTCAACAGTACTCACATACACTAAATAAATAGCTACTTCACACTGATGCAAAGTATGAAACACTATTAACTAGAGTTTGTGGTTTTCCAATTTTTTTTCCAATTCCAAAACTATGAACACAAGCGGGACGGGTAAAGAACCAGTTTGTTACTGTATGTCTTGTATACTTAAACTGTAGCTAAAGTAGATAACCGTATGAAGTTATTTGTAAAAAAAAAAGTGTGTTTTGGAATTTAAACTCTGTGAGAAGCAGAGTTAGTGGTCTCAGTAAATGTGCCACAGTTTTTGTGTCTTGGCAATTGCAAAAAAAAAAACTTATGAGAACAGCAAACGGGTTCTCATGAATTTCTTGCTTCCTGAAGAAACGTTGCAGCTTCCGGGGCCGTGCCTAAAAGGGCCTTCAATTTTTTTAATTTTCATTTGCTTCATTATTTTGAGACGGCTTGTATTTATTTAGAGAAGGCTTGAACTTATTCACTCTGCCTGTGATCAGCACCTAAGTGCTCCATCACAAAGCCGAGTGCAGTGTAAGCTGTTTTTCTTTGGATTTGCCTGATTTATCACCCAGCTAGGCAGTGGAGTGAGTTTAAACAAACGGATCCTGAACATTCTTAATCAGGTTTTATTTAAAGGCTGTTCTAACCCAGAGTTTGCTGTGGATTAAAGGGACATCTTAACATTTAGAAATTCTTCACCAGGCAGTTTTTAGGTGGTGTATATGTGCCGGTTCTTGAAAAAAAAAAAAGATTATTTGTATTTTGGGGTGTTCACACAAGAGAATAATGGGGACTGATAACTGAAAGTAATTGGTTGTGGCTCCTGTTGTTTAATTGAAACACAATAGCAGATTGTTTAGGGAAAACTACCTGGTGAGAAGGAAAACATTTAACTTCAAATGTCAGGATGTCTCCTTAAAGCTTAAGTCTGGAGCATGAAGCAGATGTGCACAGATAAAGGGGACCAGACATCTTTGGAATACAAAAAGTATATTTCAGTATTGGTGTTCGATTTAGCTTTTCCCTCAAGAAAAAACCCACAACCTGGATTTAGAAGGTAAATTTAGCTATTGCCCCCGCAATTCCAGAACATTATCGGTCTTTATTTTAAATGATGAGAACATCATAAAATGTACGTGCTTAATTTCCCAGGAGGCTTACTGTACAATACTGGTCTCTGAGTAATAACTGACAGTATCCGGCCATTATCTCGTCTCTTCCAATCTTTGTTTTTTAAAGATGTCTGCGCCTCAGTCGTGCCATTAGTTTGTCATTATCCAGGCTTTGCCTTCGATGCTTTCTACCATTTTGTTTGAAACTAAATAGCTGTCATTCCCACCTGCTTCTCCACCTTCAAGCTGTCTCTCCTTCTTCTTCTTTTTCTTCTCTTCTTTCAACATTCCTCAGAGGGTTTTTGAATCTCTCCTCTCAAAGTTCTTTTTATCAGCTTTTTAATCAGCTGCTTCTTGTTTTTGTCCGTGTGTCTATGTCCACATCCGTCCGGCCCTTCGTCCACCTACTGTCTTGTTTCTGTTTTTACTCCATCCGTGGTCTCCGTTTTTGTTCATTTTTCTGTTTTCTGTCTGTTTGTTTCTCTGGTACGTGTGCGCCCGTTTCTGTGCCGGTAGCTCGGACTCGAGTGACAGCCGCCTGCCGTTCATCCGGAGAGGCGAGGGGTCCACGGAGGAGACGTACGACGAGAGCTTCGGCGACGACAGGGAGTACCGCGGGGACGACCACTCGCTCTCCTCTGACATGTACTGCTGATAACAGGCCCACCTTGTTTCCGTCGGTGCCACCGCGGGGGGTGGGAGGGGGGAGGAGGGGAGCGTGTCTTTCATGACCTCCCCCTCTGTGTGTCTGCGTGTTCTCGTTAGGCTGGTGTACCACGACGAGACGTGTAAGCAGTTGAATCCCATGGAGGAGGGAGAGGAGGTCGCGGACAGAAGAGGAGGAGGGTGGCAGTCTCCCCGGAGAGTCTTCCTCTGCCCCACCACCCTGGGTGAGTGCGCATCTGTCCTCGGGGGTATCGGGTCAACCAGTGTGCACGTACGTCAAAACAATGCCGGTGTGTCTTTCTAAACCGCACTGCGTTTCTACACACACGCTGTGTTTGCACGTTGTCCGTGTCAGCGCGGAGATCGTCCTTCCATCTAGAGTGTCTCAGGAGACAATCGAGGCCAGATGTCTCCCAGAAGACGTCCGTACCGCTACACCTTGTACATCATCAGGTAGGAAATCAGCGGCGCCCAGAATCAGAATCATTTGTTGCTGCTACATTACCTCAACTTCCGCCGTCCGCGGCGTTGTGACGCGCAGGTTTCGGTTGCTTAGTAACACCCAGATTTTAGCGGTGGGGTCTGTCCTCTTTACAAGAACTTGTGCTCTGTCCCTCTGCAGGCTTTGGCAGTGGCAGGGTTGAGTCCTCTGCTAGGACGGAGCCACTCGCCCACCCTCTTCAGCCGGCTGTGCTCCTCGCCTCCAGCCAGTCCCACAGGTGTGCTGCGTCCTGCACAGTCCTGATGGTCCCCCATGACCCATAGTTCATCGTTCAAGTGTCAGCCTTGTCCTCCTAACGGGTGCCTGTCTCGTCTCTTGTCTCCAGCTCATGGCAGTGATGCCTCGTACCAGCGGGTGCCCTCTCTGAGGCTAGAGGGCTCCAACTCCCACGAAAAGCTCAATACCAGCTTGCCCTCTGTCAACTGTGGGCCCTGGTAAGGCGGAATACCGGGCAGGGACAGCCGTTGGGACACTGCAGGAACAGCGGTAACTGTGACGTTGTTTATCGCTCGTAGGTACAACGACAGTAACGGGAACAGCCGGGGGCCCAGTCCGAGTCTCGGTGTGTCCAATCAGAGGCCGCGGCCGGTGTCGCTCACGGTGCCCTCGCTACTGGGAAAAGACTCCAGCTCACTGTGTCACGGCAGTGCAGGCAGTCTGGTGGAGGCAGTGAGTTTGTGTGTGTGTGTGCGCGTGTGTGAAGGTTGGAGAATTTTAAGTAACTGGAGCATTAACACTCCATTTTTGTGTATTAAGTGTATCAGTGATTCCCAGCCTCGGAGATAAGACCTCATAGGATGAATGCAATTTCCTCGGCCCTCAAACCTTTTATAGACCAACTGATGTCAAATAATGTAACGATAGATAATCATCAGTCGTAGCTGTAAACATTCCATCTGACTTTTCTCCCTGACTCCATCACATCCCCACATTTCCCTCCATCTGCCTCCCTTCCTCCGCCCTCCCCAGGTGCTAATATCAGAGGGTTTGGGCCATTTCGCCCAGGACCCGTCGTTCATCGAGGTGACCAAAGCCGAGTTGGCCGACGCATGCGACATGACCATCGAGGAGATGGAGCACGCCGCCAACAACATCCTCAACAGCAACGCCGCCGCCGCCAACGCGACACCCAGCGCCTCCTCCACCTCCCAGCACAGCCCCAACGGCAACCTCCTCCCCTTCCACACAGCGGCGGCGGCATCGCACAGGGACCCGGTGGTCAGGGAAGGCGGGGCAGAGGCCGGAGGAAGCAGAGGCTCCGTCCACGGGCCGTCCTCGCTGGAGGAGCGACAGGAGCTGCTCGCGGAGGGGAGGGGACGAGACGAGGAGGAGGAGGAGGAGGAGGAGGAGGAGCAGCAGGAGGAGGAGGAGGAGGAGGAAGAGGTGGCGGCGGGGCAGCACAGAAGCTCGGTTGCGATTGGAGGAGCGCGGCAGAGGAACAGCAGGCTGTTAGAGGAGGAGGATACGGAGTGTGTGACGAGTTTGTAGGTAGTCGGACTGACAGGTTTGATTTGGCCAACTGGCCCCTCTGACATCATCAGAGAGTGACGCTCGTCAGTGCTGGGTAACAACGCCGCGGCTGGCTCTGTCTGTCCCCTCACACACGCACCTACACACACACACACACACACACACACACACTGTCTGCCTCTCAGCGAGACGTAACCGCTCTGGACAATGGCGGCCAGTGACGCAACATAAAACACCTGGTTCTGGTTTATAAGAGTTTGTACGTGTGGATGTTAGTCAAGTATACCACACTATACTCTATACTATCTGAGTGTACGTGTGTGTGTGTGTGTGTGTGTCTGTGTGATCTATGATTTTCTCTCTTTGTACGTGTGAGTGACTGAGTGTGTTCTGCACACGTGTCTGAGTGTGTCTCTAAAGTGCCTCGCAGTGTTATCACGTCCGCAAAAAAAAAGAGAGAGAGAGGGGAAAGTAAGGATGAAGGAAAGGTAGGAAGGAAACGACAGCAGCAGGAAGTCCTCTTAATGGGTTACTGCAGATGATATAGCGCGTTTATTGTTTTCATTTCCTACGCCTACTTTGGTGTTGTGTTATTGTTGTTTGTCTGGCCGCCATGAAGCCAGGTAGGGGACAGCAGACCAGCTTGCGGGAGGTGAGGGGAGGGGGGGGGTCAGTAAAGGATTTAGATCTGACCGCACATTTGTGGTCAATGGTCCAATCCTCCGTCTTGGCTCACCGATGATGAAGCGCTGTATTGAGTAAACGGGGGTGAGGAAAACCCTGTTTGATATCTCGTTTCTCTTCCTCTTCCAAAGCTAAGGGACCTCGGAGCACAGCCCTGCCAGCCTGGGGGTGGGATGAAGCTGACACACACCCTCAATCAGGGGCGTGGGGGGGCGGGGGGGGGCATTTGAGGGATGGACCGACAGCCACGACGGGGGCTTCTGTAGGGCGCCGCGGGCAGAGAGAGAGAGACACTCGTCCGGCCCCGCGGGAAGCTAGCCGGCCCTCAAAGCCGCTGGTCAGCGAGACGCCAGCGAGAGACAAGGACGTGTCACCTTGATCCGGCCTCGCCTCCTCTGCCGCTTTTTCCTTGTTTGGCCACGCCCATTCCTGCGGCCAAACAGGAAATGGGTAAAAGCATTCAGTGCCCCCCCCCCCTTCTTTTTGCCTCATACCTCGACGTTCCTCACTCCTCCCCCCTCTCTCCTTCGGCCCTCTTCTTTGGTTATTCCACCATCCCCCTTCCACCATGGCTGGATTTATTTTGGGAGGGGATTGTGTCGAACAGGGCGACACAGACGGAGGGAGGGGGAGAGAACGGGAGTGACCGTTTGAAAATAAAAGAGACTCTGGGCATGGATCTACAGAGGGTCTGTCCGTCAGTCAACCTCACTTCCTTCTGTAAGACCCTCCTCTTCCTCTCAGCGTGGAATCCTATTGGATTTGCTGCCACACACACACTCTCTCCACAGACCACGCCCACTATGTATTTAACAGTTCAATATTGTGCAAAACTGGCTAGCCATGACTATTTTGTTTTATATTCATGATGTTATTGGTTTAATTTATCCTTGATTTGTTTGCAAAATCGGGGTGCTGGTCTCATAAATGTATTTTTGCTCAATTTATTTTAGGAGAATTTTAAGAGGTTTTAAGTATCGAAGCAGGGCGTAGTGTTTGCGTGCGAATGTATAACTATATCCGTGCGGCTGTGTGTGTGTCTGAGTTTTAGTACAACATATGTGTGTATGGACGAATGGTTTGAGATAGCGCGTGTATCCTAAAGAGGGGTCGTTCTCTCTGTCAGTATGCACCTTTTACAGATTGTATCTATTTATTTATTTATTTTTTCCCAGAAGAGAAAAAAAAAATGTGTGAGGATGTGACTTTGTATGTGTCCGAGTGGTTACTAATGTATTCTAAAAAGCAGATTTTAAGCCTAGACAGTAAATTAAGGTAGCATTACAAGTATGGTATTGTGTGTGGGGGTGTGTGTGTGTGTGTGTGTGTGTGTGTGTGTGTGTGTGTGTGTGTGTGTGTGTGTATGTGTGTGTGTGTGTGATAATGGGCCTCCTTAACACAGGGTTACCATGGACAGGCATGCTTCCAAAGCTTTGTGATTTCTTTAGCACGGTTTTTACTTTTTAGCCAAGCTGCAGAGTCTGACGCCACTCTATTTTTTGAAAATGTAATAACTTTTCTTTATTTCTCTGTTTAGAGGTTATTGGTCGTAAAGATTACAGCGAGGTCTGTGAGTTTCGGCGTTGCAGCTTGGCCAGAAGGGAACAAGCCTTTTGGCGATTGCTGCTTTTCTTCTTTATGGTGGACGGTCTCTCTGAATGGTAGAAGCACCAAAATCGCACTGCCACATGAATGGACATGGGGGTGGGGGGGGTGACACACCATGATCACATGATTACATCATATAATCGTAGTTTAAACTCCAAATGAACTATTAGGGCTGGTGTACAGATGCTGCAAGACTTCTGAATCACATCTCTTTGTCTGAGGTCTGTTCATATCACAAAACATTCTGATTTACTGTCTGTATTGACATTTGCTGGTAAAAGTGATTACTAAAGAAATATACTACAGACAGGTAATTTACAGTCAATTGATAAGATGTGATAATTGTTTGATTACATGAGAAATGATTGGATCCGATCTAAACTGTCCTGGAGATTTTTGTCCTTTCATTTTCTTCTAGTGGCGTTAAGGTAGCATGCTGACAAACTTTTCACTGACCGTTCTCTATAATAGTTTGTTTCTGGATTATAGTTTGGATTCACTTGAGAAGGTATATGACCACAGTCCGCCATAGCCAGTCATGGACCTTCAGCCTTCGGTACATTACACAGAGCATGAGTATCACCTTGGTATTATATCATAAAACATTCCTAATGTCAGAATCACATCCTTGGTGCCAATTGTCTTTTATTCCTTTGTTAACCAACTTTGTAGTAGTTAAACCTTCAATGATTACATCGAGCTCTCTTTACGACGGGGTGTAATCAGACAAAAAACAAAAACAACGTTTGTTGCCGCCGCAAGTCGCACAGTCAACTCAACACTAAAAGTCCGTCTTACCAGACAAGACCAGCGCTCACAAGCAGACGCATGTCATTTTGTAAGGACGTTCGTTTCATGTTTAGGTCACAGCGTTTACGACTGTACTTTTAAACTCAAACTCCCTCGTTAGATATAAAGAAATTCCAAATATGTCGCGATTGATTTTATCTCACATTACAAAAACAAAAAAAGAATAAAAAAAACAAAAAAACATTGATTTCCCTCCCGAACATTGTACCACATTTCGCTTTGATTTACCGTTGCGGTCTGACTGCTGAGCTCCTGCGTGTGAAGCAGAGGAGGTTTATGGCGGGGAAGAGTATGCATGAACACACACTGCCATACACTGCATCCTGTGCCAGTAACAGACTTCTGACATTATTATGCAAACTAAATGTGAATGTTGAACGTGTTTTTCCAGTGGCAGCGCTATTGTTGTTTGTTTCATGGTCGGGATCATACTGCAAACCCAGAAGAAGTCTGTGTTGACGAAGCAACACCCTCCCTGACATTTAGTCTGTTTTTCTGTTTTATCTTTTCCTTTCCTCCTTTGGCCCTCATTAAACATTTTCAACATTTTTTATCTTTCAGTTGTTCTAAAAGCACCTCATTCAAATAGTACTTACGTTGAGATAACTCGGTACCATAAGCTAACAAACTATTGCGAGTGGCTCGTGCCAGTTTCTGTATGAGTTGCTTTTATTTGGCCAAATGTAAAGCAGATTTCGGAACGGTCGAGCCGTTTGATTGGTTGTGCAGGGAAGCACAGTCACTTTTTCTCTGGTTTTTCTATCCAACTGTGTTGGATCCTCTTTGTTAAAGTATATTCAACACTTAATTCAAAAGACAAAATAACGAATGGTTATTAAGGCTGATTTCTATTAGGTCTAAATCTTAAATAATAAATGTTACATTTATTACAGGTGTGTTTAGATTCACCTCCAGCTTGGAGGAACCTCAGAAATCTAGAAAATATTCTGTCAGCCACATGACGGCTGTGAATATTACTCCCTCAAGGCAGATAACGAAAGGTGTGATGATTGACAGCTCATAGTTCAATGAATCCATCATCTATCCAACACAAAACCCTTCTCGAACCGACCGAGTGAGGAAATAAAACAGCCTCCAGCTTTGAGGACATTCGCAATCTACGTTTGGTTCACATCCCTTCATTATCTGCTCCACCATCACCACTGTCCACTTACATATTGTAGAGACGCACCCGTTGTGGTCTGTTTCAAATGCCGGTGGGAGAGATTCGGTGTCCCGCGTGGGGCGGAGCAGTATTTTTTACGTTCCATGTAGAATGAACTCTCTAGTCGTTGTGTGAGTGGTGAGCGTAATCCTGCATCCCCCAAGATATGCAAAAACAATGCAATAACTATGACTGTAGGTTCCCTGAAGTTAATATATTTGTGAAAGTGAGAAAAAAAAAAAACCACAATATCATCATGACTTTTGTCTCGTTCTGTATTTCTTTTTAAGTGATCTCCGTGGTTCCCAACGCCAGAGAAACCTAACATACTTGAAATCAGGTGCATTGCAGTGCAGTATAGCAGAGATGTATTTATTTATCCTTCTCACGCCAGGCTGTTCGATCCTCAGTCTGAGATGTGTATTGATGAGACGTGGACTTGAAATTGATGTTTTAACATCCAGCCAGTGTAGCCCCAGAATGAAAAGCTGATACGAAATGCGACTCCCTGACTCAGTGCGGCTTTGACTCCATGCCTTTCTCTCGTTTAATCGCTCTTTCTGATTGGCATTCGGCGTGCCGGGTTTTTGCGGGTGTTTTTGTTTCGATCAGGTTAAGTATCATATCATACATCATGACAGTAGCTATTTCTATTTAGTGTAAATATGATTAAAGTCAGTATTTCTTCTCTGGATAAACATTTGACTGTGCACAGCGGTGGAGGCTGTTTGAAAGGGGATTTTGTATATCTTGTGTTTTATTGGCTGCGAGTACATTTTCTGTTTCTTAACACAGACGAGGACTGAGCTCATGTTTGTGCGACTGTCACGAGCTGAGAGAGAAACGGCAAGCTACAGTATTTCACTTCACAGTTTAGGCAAATGTCGCTGATTATGTCGCTGTAGTCTTCAACGTTGGTCTTTTGCTCGTCTGACCAGTTCGAACATTTTGTATGAAAGGGACCAACTATTATTAGTAGTTTTTAAAAAACATGTAGGTGGATTGAAGTCAAGGCTATGGACACACACACACACACACACACACACAGGGGTTTCGTGCTAAGAAATACACACTTGACTGCTTACTTGTTGTATTCAACTGAACCGATTCAAAATATGATAACGTTAATAATGTTAAAGAAATCAGTCAATGTAGAGGCAGATGCTGTTATGTTTTTTGACCAGTCTCAAAATAAAGTCGACTCTGAAAAAGAGACAAAGACCGTAAAAAGTGGTCTTGAGATATTTCTAATAACTAAACACTGACTGAGACTGTGTCCCAATTCCATCGCACACACTTAATTCTGTTAACAGAACTGTTTCCACATGGTGTTTTTACAAATAAACAAGATAATATTAAAGATAAAACAAGGACAACACAAAAGTACAGCAGAGGTAAGTATCAATATTTAACAAATATACAATATAAATGATCCTACATCACCCATCATTTAAGAATTTCAAATGAATCCACCTTTAAACTGGCCCCTAACGCACTACAGACGTTGGGGGGGACAGTTCTAGAAAGGTATCAGAATATGACATTTGGAAATGAAAAGTCACCCGTGAATTGACTCTTGACAGTATAAAATGATGCTGGATGCAGGATGCTGATTCCTTGCATACCAACTGTAAAAACCTGCCATACAGATGATGTACATGTATATTGTATGCAAGAAGTCTGTTGTGTGTGTGTGTGTGTGTGTGTGTGTGTGTGTGTGTGTGTGTGTGTGTACCTGTGGTCTCTTCTGCTTGCTGTCAGTTTATCGGGCCGCTGATCAGACTCAGAAGCTGCAGCCGTGTTGCCATAAAGGGGGGCAGTTCAAACACAAGGCACTTCCTTGAAGTGAGGGCAAAGATTGGGAGAAAATGATGGAAGACAATCTGTTGGTGATGACAATGGGAAGTTTGGCGGGAGTAAAAGCGTCGGATGGAGGGCACCTTTCTGGGATGGTTGAAAGTTGTATTTCATCATGTTTGGATTTTCTGAGTTCTGAGTTCATACACAGTGACTTGGATACCCAAGTCATGGGATATGCACACGGGTTTCTTTCTCTAGGGGTATAAAGTATTGGTCCTATGTGAATGATATATTTTGTCTCACCACTAGCCAATGATTGTATATTTTTCTACACCATATACCATATAATAGCAAGAAAATGTATGAAAATGTCACATGTAATCACCAGAATGTCAGCAGAAGGAAACGGCTTGACATTTATTTAGGAATGTAGTTAATGAAATATGAAAATGTGTTCTATAATCCTACTGACTGAGGGTCAGCCCCACCTGACTGTATGTTTGACCCAAAGGAACCAGCAGGGAATTATAGTTCTATTCACTGCAGAAGGAACGTTGTATGTTTCGGCTGACGGCATGTACATTTTTAGGTCTTCTCTCACTAAAGGCTGAGATGCTTCGTAGACTCCTGTGGCACCTCAGTCCATCCCCATATGGCTCCATTAGCTGCGTAACACAAGTAACCAAATGACATAACTAACTGCGACGGAGACGTGCGTGAAGGCCTCCGTCTCCGGGTGTCTCCGGGTGTCTCCACGAGTACGAGTCCATCTTTTAAAAACAGTGCGGTACGGAAATGGAAATTCATTTCTCGAGTGAAAAGGAACCATTCGGGAGAGAATCTAGCGGGGAATCTAGCGTGCGTGTTGCTTTTTCCTGAGTGATGTGAGCTGACATTAAATTAAACTAGCAGCAACCTGTCGGCGCGGGTCAAAGTCCGGGACGTTTTCCTACTGTAGCACCAAGAGACCTGTCTCGCTCTCACCAGTCCTACGTCGGCCGTGGACACACTGTACACGCCAGAAAAGACATCAAACCAAAAAAAGTATCCACCTATCTAGGACGAGATATTTCAGCGCTTTGAGCGATGAAAATCATGTAGCTTCAGTTTTGTTTGGGTTTTTCCTCCAAGAAAGGAATAGAGGACTTGAACTTCACACGTGGAGGAGCGACAAGATGATTTAGTGGTTCTTATGCAGCAGAGAAAGATCGTCTAGAAGAGAACGTTTTATCCAATCTGATGTGAAAATGTGGGATTCGTGTTCTGCATCTCGACCATCGACCGGTTGGTGTTTGCGTGGAGGAGCAGAAATAGTGTTTTACACGTGATTATGACGTGTGCTGTCACAGACCGAGCGCGGCTTCCTCTCACGTTCAGATCTCGTGTGGATCTGCCATCGTTGCCACAGATGTCTTCATGGAACGTTGTTTGATGCTAATTAAGCATTTTAAGAGGACTATTTTGAATATAAACTTTATGCTCCCCCTTTTTCTTGGTCGAAAATTCAGCATAGGCTCAAATTTATTCCCATTAAAATATGAATGTGTTTTTTCTGGAGAAGGGAGAGGATCTGTTCTTCTCGTGCTGACGGACGCTTCGGGGGAAATGAAACAGAAAGCAAGAGCGGGAATCTGTCGTGAAATACAAGTTTATACTGCGAGCCTCTTCTTATATTTTATATATTATATATATATATATAGAACAGTGGTGTCTAAATTATATTCTATTAAACGGTAGCTTATGCGGGAAAATGACCGGATCTGGTTTGTATGGCGCCACTCTCTTTAACTCCTGACATGCCGGCAGTTTCTGACGGCTCAACGTTTCCGGTGTACAAGTCGAGGATGGATTCGAAGCCCCCGGCTGTTTGCAATGTGACTACAACACGTCTATCTGGAGGAATCATTGTGAATCTTGATTTAATTGTCAATAAATTCTTTCAGGGGATTTTTACACATTCAATTGACAGCCTGCTAATTTAAAAAAAATTTGATGGATTTTGTGTTTTAGACCTTGAATGAATCTTAACCGCTCCTTCTCATAGACCCGTGTTGAGTTTCGCCAATCAGTCTTGGTGGTGATGAACTAAAACATAATTTACTTCCTTTTTCCTCGTCTGTGAAGCGCTAAAATGAACCAAAAAGATATTTGCTTGTAAAATAGATGGAGAAATGACAAATGATAGTACGACAACCTTTGGGCCGACTGTTGGCATTCAGAGGACCTTGAAAGCCTTTTTGTTCATCACTCATTCTTTCTCTTATTCAAATCAAATCATAAAAGAGATTCCTGTTTGCACATATTAGAATTATCCAAGTCTGACACAGTAACTTTAATGGAGAATGGCCTGTCAGTGTGAGATGTAGCGTAACGGTGACTTTCTTCAGGATCTCACTCCAGCTAACAACTCTCGGCTGAAGATGCGTGGCAGCAGCTTTAAGACGCTGAATCTGAAGGGGTTCCTGTTGGAGCCACGAGTGTCTGTGCCTCCCTGCATCTGCTGATTCTCCCCCGGTTCTAATGAGAAGAGCTACTCAACATTGCACCCTGAATGATGATGATGATGATGATGATGATCCCTTGAATGTAGAACGTAGTGAGGATTAGACTACAGGTTTATGTTTGGATATTTTCATCTTTTTTCCCCCAGCAGTCCTTTATGGAGGGACTTGTTAATAGCTGTATCAGTTTTGGCCCAGTCCCAGAAAAGAATTAGATTTTTACTCTTTGTTTGCCACACAGGATCCCTGCAAACGTTTTCTGCTGGGAAAGTCACACAAAGAGTTAGAAACAAACGTGCGTCGTGCGCCTGGGTGCGCCGACAGCCTGCAGACCCCGATTTCAGTCGTTACCACGGCAGCATGATCGACGATTCAATGGCAGGAGATCCACGTTCAGTAGTTTTCGATGAAGGCTTTTCCGTTCCTTATTTACTGGGTAAACGCCGTGGCTGTGTGGCTCTGTCCTCCACTGGTCAGTAGTGTCTTATGATCTTGATTTGTTGTCTCATTCACTCCTCATGCAAAGTGTGAAAGGGCCTTTGACAGGATTGAGCTGCTTGTTTGGTTTTGTCGTGTCATGTCAGAGAGAAGTCCGTTTTAAATCTTTTGTGGAGAGAGAGGCGTTCACACAGAGACCAATCTGTCGTATTATTAGTAGTGTCACAACTGCTAACTGTAGTATTTAATAACAGCACTGTTTATGGTCAGAAAATGACCTGGAGTGGGTTATTGTACTTGTCGTAGCTTTGGAGGCAGGTGGTCGTTTAACACAAGCCACTCCCCCTCAACTGGGAGGGATTTCATTGGGTTTGGCGTTGCTAAGTGACACTGGCCGGACATCATCCGGTTTCCTCAGTTACCATCCGCGGTGACGACTGCATGGTCTCACAGTTGACGCTCCCTTTTTTCTTTTTCTTTCTTTCTTCTTCTGCTTCTTTCTTTTTCCTAAAAGAGGATTCTCGTTTAGTTTTTTGTTCATTCACTTCATTTTTACATTTTAGAAAGGGAAAGAATCCAAATGAAATAAATCAAAATATTAATTCAATCACTTTTTCTACTCCTATTTTCAATAAAAAGTGAAACGAAAAAGCAAACAAAAAGTTGATTTGTAAATAAGTAATGTACAGTTTGTATCTGTAACTTGTCAGTCTGTCATTGGTGACAGAGTCTGTCTTGCTTATAACGCACGCTACCAGTAAATAAAAAAAGGAAAAAGTATATTTAGACTGTATGGTCCCTTGAAAGCAAGTTTTAAATTAATATCTGATGTATATTCCTGTAACATTGCATTTTTATCTGAGGAATGATGTTATTAAAAAATTGCAAATAAATTGCATTTCCTACAGGTGTGTTTTTCACTTTCTCTTTTACGTTTGTATTGAGGTCTTTTTAAATCACGTTCTCTCTGTGTAGAGAGCTCTACTATCAAGGTACTATAACATTACACTATGTTAATAATTGACCAAAAAAGATATGGCAACTCATAACTTTCTTCTTCACCATCACAGCTTTTCAAATGTACAAAGTAAGCCGTCTAACAGTATCAAACTTTGTTTTGCTCCAAGTTCAATCAGACTTATCATGTTAACTATGGTGGAGAAAAAGCAAAAAGGTGAACGTATGAGCCTAAAACTAAACGATGACACCCGTGTTGGTGAAAGGCAAGCGTTTGGTAATCAAGAACCCAAAAGGAAGAAGAATTGAAGTACTCCAATTATTGCTACCGATGTTTCTATAATAACTATATCCGGCCCATATACGTGCAGTGAATCATATATAATTATATCATATATGTGAAAACAAACTTTTATTTAGGTAGGTTATTAATTACATCTACATCCCGCTGTCTGACTGTACATCTAGTTCACGTGTCCGGTTTATGAGTCGCCAGGTGTCTTTTCAGATTCCCCTGCTGGGAGAATTCTCTCTCACAGCTGGGACACTTGAAGGGTTTCACCCCGTTGTGGCTGAGCGTGTGTCTCTTCAGGCAGTTCAGCGTGAGGAAGCGCTTGGGGCACTCGCTGCACACGTACGGACGTTCCCCCGTGTGAGAGCGCGTGTGCACGTTCAGGTGGCTCTTGCTGGAGAAACCCTTCCCGCAGTGCGTGCAGGTGTACGGCATCTCGCCCGTGTGCGACCGGGTGTGCAGCAGCAGCTCCCCGGAGGACAGAAAGGACTTCCCGCACGTGGTGCACAGGTAGTTCTTCTCCCCTTTGTGCATCTGCATGTGTCTCGTAATTCCCGCTTTGCTGAAGCTTTTCCCGCAGATGGTGCACAGGTTGGTGGGGCCCTCGTGCAGGCGTTGGTGTTGCTTGAGCGAATAGTTGCAGAGGAATCCCTTGTTGCACTGGCTGCAGGCGAATATCCGTCCCCTCTTGTGGAGCCTCTGGTGCTGGTAATAACCCGACGGGCTGGTGAATCCCTTCTCGCATTGGTTGCAGCAGTACGGGAAGCTGTGGAGCTTCATGTGAGTCTTCAGCTGATTTGGAAGTTCAAAAACTTTTGGGCATTTCAGGCATTTAGTTTCTTCATCTGTAAAGTTTTTGTTGACAGTCCGCGTGCTGAGGAACCGCTTGTCTTCCCCCGTGTGCTCTGTGGGTCTTTGTTGTTCCTTGTTTTCTAGGTTGTCCTTCTTCTGCTTCCGTCCGCACCTTTTCTCAATACAGACCTTTGGTTTATGTTTCCTTTTCCTCTCCGAGCTGCCTCCTAGTTTCTTTGTTTTACCCTTAAAGTCTTTACCTTTCTGCTGAGTCTTTGCTCTGGCTTTCTTCGCGGACGGTTTGTTTTGACCTCTTGCGGGGTGGTGCTCACTCTGGATGTGCTCTTGGACTTTCCTCTTCATGCGGTGAGTGAATGAACACTGAGGGCAGATGAATAAACGGGACAGAGGTCCTGAAACAGTGAAAGACAAGAAGTTAATGAAATTGGATTTTTGGAGTCTTGTGCTGCAACGGATTTTGTCTGACCTGATTCTCTTTTCTCATCTGCGGTGATGTCGGAGCTTTGACTCGATTCTCCTTCTAAATCTTCCAATGTCTCTTCCTCGTTGCTATAATCATTGTCTTTACTGTAAGGCTCATTGAACCCGTCCATTCCAGTTTGAGCAGGCAGGGCCAAAACGGACAAAAGGATGTCATCCTTGCTGCTGGAAGGAGCTGAAGGACACCAAGACATTTTGAACGTTAAGAGTTACATGTTGAGATAGGAAAGAAAAAAGCATTGCCAGACCTTTATCTTGATTAGCAAATAGCATTTTAAGTTTAACTTACCAGCGCTAAGAGTCCCCAACTGCCTGTGATGAAGCAGCAGACTCTTCAGGGCAAACGGTTCAGACAGATTGGCTCCGAATTCTTCCGACACAGATGTCGTTTCTGTGAGCCATGCTGCCGTCTGAGACGCAGAGAGGAGATCACCGCAATGCAGTTTGGTAAATGGGAAGAAATATTCATACTGCATATGTATGGACTCGAGAGCACAAGCACATTGAAAGGTTACCTGTTGTAGGTCTGGAGAGAGCAGCAGCTGCTCCAGTCTGGACAGGAACTCAGACACCAGCTGCTGCAGTCTCCGGTCATAGTTTGAGCCGTAGTTTAAGGGGAAAACCTCCTAAAAGAAACAGCCATCACTTCATTGTCTTTAAAAAAGTTTGCATCTTTAGACATTTGTAATCCACTGGGACTAAAGAAAACATTTCCTCAAAAAGCTGATAAACGTTGAGTCTCTGTCATTTGTCTTTTTCCTTAATAAAAGAGCTCCGTGTCCCTTCCATAAATCTTGATGTCATCTGCATTCCTCACAAACTGACTCACTTGGAAGAAGAACTCCTTTTCGAAAGGGACATTCAACAGGTTCTGAACAAGGCCGGCAAAGTTGATGTAAGAGGTCTTCAGAATATCACCAGTGGCCTGTCAAAACATGCACGATAAAAACGTTGAGATGGTCACACCCGCTATGGAATTACACATAATGACTGATGAGATGTGCTCTGTGTTTCCTTAAAACACGCACCATGTGATCCTCATCGGAGCTCAGTTCAGCACTGCAGGCGTGGATTTTATCCAGGTGGCTCTGGATGGTCTGCAAGTTGGCAACACCATCACCTCGACACAGCTCCAGAACCAGCTGCCATAAGGCAAAGAGGACTAGCGTTATAACTAAGACAATTAGAAAACAGTGATAAACAAACGTAGAAAAGATTATGATTATCCTCATGTGTCATGCTTTCCCTCCACTAAAATGTCAAATGTGTCCTTGGTTAGTCACTGGGGGTGGGTGGTGGGGCTACTCTGGTACAGAGATAGCGATTCAATCCGCTCGGACAAAGACATCCCTCACCCTCGCTCTCAGGCCCAGGATGAGCTGAGCTTTCCGGCCGGGACTCAGGAGCTCTGGGACGACCTCCGTGGCCAAACTGATGAAGTCCACCAGCTTGTCGTACTGCATCACGCTGTGCTGCTGCACCACCCGCCATGTGAAAGCAGCCATCAGTCGCACCGGGGGGACGAGCAGGCGGAGGGAGGCTGGAGGGAGAGGGCAGCCTGCGGAGGACATTTGAGAACAGCGAACTGTTGCTGAATCACAAGGAAACGAAGCTGGAATAACGAATTCCAGAGGATTGGCAACGCTAGCTTCACATTTATAACTGTATTTGCTTTTGTTGAATAAAATGTCGGAACGCGTATGTGTTACTTATCCGATAAATCGGTTAATATGTACCCAAAGATTTGCTTGTATACGCCATTTCTTCGTTTAAAAACGTCTAAACCTTGACGTAAAAATCATCGCTAGCGAACATCCAACACACGACGGGAGGCTTAGTTAAAGCTTCCGGGTTAAACGGATGTTATGAAAACTATCCGCCCGGTGGGCTTTCCTTCAAAATAAAATCCAACGGTTACGTTCAACTACATTATACAAAGCGACGCAAAATATAGGTTAAAAAAGATTAAACAAACCACGCATATAGTTCATTGACAATATACAGGTGGTTGAATGTGCATACTTGAAAATAACTGCCAGTAGATGGCGCACGTGTCCGTCCTTGTGTTGGGCTTGCATTACATGTCATTTAGCTTACGTTTTTATCCAAAGCGACTCACAAGTGCATTCCAACCATACGAATACAAACCCAGAACCTTTCAGTTTATTCATTTGAACATGTGGGGGAGGGTGGGTATAATCAGCTGTAGGCTACTGATATCTGGCATCAATTGTACGTAAACTACAAGCAGGAAGATAGCTCGTAGCCACAGCGTTTGAATATACAATATACATGGTTTCCCATGAAGGACATTGTCTTGCAATAGGGAAAATGTCTGAGTTGAGCCACTTCAGTTTAATTGATTTTTATTTTTATTTTAACTTCCTCTCTTACTTGATCGAACCATCTAGCTTTCGTTGCTTGCACATAAGTCATTTAAAGTATTTTTAGTATAACATTCCATGGCAAAAGAGCATCGTACATCCAAACAAAAGTATAACCAACACTTATTTTGTACTTATTTGTAAAAAAATAAATAATAATAATAATCATAATTGTATCATATGCATTGACTTTGTCCTGGTTTCTTGAATGTATGCGGTCACTCAAGGGGCCCGTCTTTAGATTCGGGCGCTGGTTTTATCATCTGATCACCGGTGAAGCCGTGAGGCGCAACGGTTACGCCCCGTTTTCTTCTGCACACGCCCAGTCGCCGCCGGCCAGATAACGCAAGAGGCAGCTTGAAACGACTCGCCGTGAAACTATACGCGTCGCCTCGAGTCTCAAGTCTCTTCATCACTGTTGAGCTGCCGGTCTTTACTTTGCCCCCCGGCAGCTCGTTTCGTGGCCGCATAACAGCGCATCGGCGCGGCCACTTGGAGACGGCGCTTGGGTCATTGACACCATGGGAGGACGCGGAGGCGCACCGGGATCAGGCGATGACTACTCCTTCGTCAGTCCAGTTGTCAAGTACCTGCTGTTCTTGTTCAATTTTATATTTTGGGTGAGTGTTTTGCGTGTGTGTGTGTGTGTGTGTGTGTGTGTGTTAGACACAGGCAACAGAGACAGTGGTAATCTATTACATGCTCTTCTATGTGCGCAGGTTAATCATTATGAACAAATCCTATTCTTGCTACCTGATTTTAAACTTGTTAAAAACAGAGTAAGTTAAAGGTCATTTATCCGGATTCTGAGTTCCAACCTGCATTTATAGTTATGTCGCATTGCAGGCACTGTCGTACTGCCTTGTTTGAAGTAGAATTGTTCATTTACTTTGGTGTTTTTACGAAAAGTGAAACTGTGTCAACGGGAAAGAGAAAAGGGGAAGTTAATATGTAAAGGTGACATACACACACACACACACACACACACACACACACAGTTTAATTCTTACTTTTCCAAATCTAAAGTCCATTGTGGCTTGTTAGAGGGGGATTTACTTTGAGAACCTGTTCGACCTGACCACATTGTTGTCATTTCCACAACAATGTTTAAAACACTCGCTCAACAAAAGGGCTGTGATTTAATTTCATACCCTGGCTCCTTTCATGACCTCCTCGGTTGCCGTGGAACGTAAAACCTTCGTTGACTGCTGATGGACTGTGCACAAGCGGGTCCTCACCTCTGCTCTACTGGTGGAAAGATGACGGATCGTCTTTGCGTTGCAGAGTTCCCACTAAGCGAGATGTTTAAAACAAGCCTTTGCAGAACACAGCAGGAGATTGTAAACCGTACACTGCCTGGATGTTCATATTTGTGTGAATGTATGAGGGGCCGTTCGGGACGGAACTATTGAGACACTCTTACGTTTGCTGTAGAGTCCTTTTTAAACGTCAAGAATCCAGTTGAAATGAAGAGCGAAGCTCTGCGGGGGGGTTGTTGACAAACCAAAGTTCATACCGGTGGGTCCCAGTGTAAGGTCCTCAGGGGCTTTAACGAAAGGAGATTTCTGGCTTAAAACCTTTTTAAAGCAGATCTGTAGTGGTAGATGAATCGCGCTGGGACTGTTTTTAGTTGTTGTTGTTGAGCAGAAACGCCGGCAAATGACAAATAGATTACAACCACAGTCAATATCTCCTTGAGAACAAAGAAGAACGTTCAAAGTTTCCAGCACTGCTCCTTTACATCCTGAAGCATCACAGTCTGAGAAGCTTTCGTTTCATCCCTTTTCATTGCCCGATTTCAGCAGCGCCTCTTACCTGTATGACTCTGTGGGCCGCGGACAGGACGAGGCTTTGTAAAAACATGAAGCTCTGGGAAGGTGGAATGTGTTGCTGTTACTTCTGTTGCCTCTGGCTACACCGTTCTCTACGTGGCTCTGCAGGCGCACCGGCCAAAGATAACTGCTAATTATTTATCGTCTTAGAAAAAGACCAAAGAGTTTGTTATTAAACAGGCAATCAGCTGGTTCTTTAACAGTCAAACAGAAGAGTGAATCGGTTTCGAGGGCAAATATTTGCCTTTTCAGCGGCCACTTTAACATTTCACCAAACTTTATTAACATTTACATTTTACAAAATACATTAAAAAGCTGTTTGCTTCAGATGTCTGGTTTATTTGCTGTGAAACTAAAGCTTTATAAAAGAAGCAGACACATGTAGCTTTACACCCCCCCCCCCCCCCCCTTCCCTCTCCAACTCCCCCAACTCCCCCGTCTCCAAGAGAAAGTTCAGAGTCTCTGGTAACTGGATCCATTTCATTCAGGGAGGGCAGAGTGTTTGTGAGGGCTCCCTATTATTCCGTTTCGACCGGCAGAAGGGCGCGGAGCGAAGGGCCCTTTATGTTTTAGGGAAAGGTACGGATCGCTGCCAGCTCCGTTTGAATCAAAAGGCGAGCAGGGCGGATGGCAGAATGTAGCAAAACGTTTCCGGCCCTCTGATTAAACACTGATTCTGTGTGTCTTTGTGACTCACGTGAATACCCGGTGAGAGGTGCTACTACTCCTTAGACAAGTTTAGACATATAATTAAATAGTTCGCCTCCTGTGCTGTGTGTGCTTTCTCCTTATTTTGCCCCGTTTGTCTTTTAGATATGTTCCCTGGTGATGGTGGCCATCGGCGTGTTCGCGCGCTTGATGAAACATGCCGGTGAGTAATCTTTCAGTCTCTCCTCCTCTTTGATAGTGGCTGCATTGCACGTCAGGACAGTCCTGTTGTCTTCCATCAAACACAGAGGGGCGAGATAGCGTCCACGTATGTGTGTTCCTGATTTCATGATGGGAATTAAATGCAAGAGCAGCGTTATGGATAAAGGCACGCTGCCATGTTACTGTTGGAGAGGAAACATTTGGTGGCGTAGGAGTGCAGCAGACGGTCTCTCTCAAGTCTTTGAGCACCTCTTCTCTTCCCTTTTTTTTTCAGAGGCAGCACTTGCATGTCTGGCGGTGGACCCCGCTGTGATGCTGATGGTCGTGGGCTTCCTCATGTTCATCATCACCTTCTGCGGCTGCGTGGGCTCCCTGCGAGAAAACATCTGCCTTCTGCAGACAGTAATTCATGATTACTTTCTGTTTTTTTACTTCAGTGCACCCTATAAAAACAGCAGAGAGAGAGAGACGTGCTCATTTTCAGTCAACGTGAACCTGCAAGATCATCTCCACTGCATTTTTATTTTGGCTCAATAACACTAAGGTGTGTCCGTGTATGGCGAGGATGAGCACTTTCGTAAAGAAAATGACTCACGTCGAAGTTTTGCCGCATGTTTTCTTCTTCTTTTCTCTCCAAGCATGGGATGTAACCACAGCTGAGTTTGCGTGGAGGGAACAGGGCCTCGCGGAATCTGTCATCTAAAGAACGAATCCACAGCAGATTAATTTGAGAGTGCTGTAAATAACCCTCGCTCTTCCCTCCTCAGTTCTGTATCTGCCTGACGGTGATCTTCCTGCTCCAGCTCATCGCCGGGATTCTTGGCTTCGTCTTCGCCGATAAGGTAGTGCAAGAACGTGCAGGGGGTTTCCGCAAAGCAACAAACATTAAAACACTGAAAACAATCAAATGGGATCTCATCCGTGAGAAGCCAAGACTGGCGCACTTTGAAAAGGTGCTTTTGTTTACTGATTATTTCTGCGGTTGGACTTTGCTTCATTTGCGCTTGTCTGTTTGCGTAGATTGATGAAACGCTGTCCTCTCCTGGTCTTTGTCTGTATCTGCCACAGCGTTTGAAGTAACCCGTGAAATGAACAGAGTTCTCTCGCGGATTGTTTTACGGCCATTAGAAATCATCCAATTTTTTTTATCAAACTGCCACTACAGCGAGAACAAATCTAAAAGCAACTCTTTTGTTTTCACTCCCGTGTTACACCAGTCCACTTTGTCACAAAAGGGCATTTCCCTGCTTCTTCTGCTTTGTCAAGACAATCGGTCTACCTGACAATGAGCATCTTGATAAGAAACAACTGCATTCAGCAAAAATCCAGGTTGCATTTATTTATCCTACTTTGCATGAATTGCTTCATGGCAAATTACGCCGCTGTGGAACTTTGGATGTTATATGCCGAATAATCACCCAGCGTCTTCACTCGTCATCTTTTGTTTTCTTCGCACTTTCCCAAGTCTCGGGACCGAGTGACGTGGATGATCAACAACGCCATCGTCCACTACAGGGAGGACATCGATCTGCAAAACCTCATCGACTTTGGTCAGAGAGAGGTACCGACGCGCGTCGTCACCAGCGCTTGTCTTCTCATCTCCTCCATCCATCTAATGTTGGTTTCCGTGTCTTCAGTTTGGCTGCTGCGGCGCCGTGACGTACACGGACTGGTCCCAGAACATGTACTTCAACTGCACGCAGGACAACCCCAGCAACGAACGCTGCTCCGTCCCCTTCTCCTGCTGCAACCTGTCCGAAGACAAGGTCCCGCGACTGCACAAGTGTCTCTTGATGTGGGGTTTTGTGAGTGTTTTCTGAGTGTTTTTTGTCTTTTTACCCCGTGTTCTGTACATTAGCAGGTGGTCATCAACACCATGTGTGGCGCCGGCATGCAGCATTTAGAGTACATTGAAGCCGGAGACCACATTTACACCAATGGCTGCATAGACAAACTGGTGAATTGGATCCACAGTAACATGTTCCTACTGGGAGGGGTCGCCCTGGGACTGGCTATACCACAGGTAGGGTACGGTGCACAGGACCAACACTCGCACGTAAACACTAACACACGCGCTTTGTGCTCAGCTGGTGAGGCTTCGGTTTGTGTTTTCTTTTTTCTTTCTCTTCTGCAGCTGGTTGGAATCCTCTTGTCTCAGATCTTAATCAACCAGATCAAAGACCAGATCGCGCTCCAGAACTACAACCTCAAGCACCGCTCTGACCCGTGGAGCTGACCCAGTCAGGGGGGGGGCACCCGCAGTGAGGACGGTTCCACAAAGAGTTATCTGTGCCTGTAATGATTGCTGTTTGACTTTCCAACACAAGACCGGTGATCAGCCCGCATGTGGACTAACAGTAAACGCGCTTTCAAATACTGAGAACTAGAGGAGGTCAAAATAAACTCACGGAGAAACGGGACTCTGTCGCCACCTACCGGACGTAGATCCTTGAATTTACCAAACTTTAGACGGTACTTGATGAGGGTATTTGGTCATATTAACTCAAGATCTGCAATTGGGGTAATATATTATTCGCCTCTATTTTTTTTTGTCAAAGACGCCAAACAAGAGTGGGACTTACGGCAGATGTATTTCTTTACGGGAAAATGTGAACTACCCTGAAATGGGAAATTTTCTAACATATTTTTTTTTGTAGAATTTTTTTTTTATTTTCTAAATGGAATGCATGCACAACAGTATTTCTAGTGGCTGCGAGTATCTCTGAGGTTGCTCTGATATTTGGTTCATAGTTTCTTTTTATCTCATCAGCAATTTTTATCCTAATATATGCACTTCTTCAATGGGATGATGAAATACCTGTGTCATAGGTCAGACTACTTCATAGTTGGGATGTCTTTTTTACATTTTCACAGGCTTATATGTTTTTAAAAAATGTTACCACCCAAGAAATGCCATTTAACTTTCTAATAAAAAAGTACAATACATTTTTTACATAATGTTTCCATTTTGTCTAATAACGGTAAAGATCATGTTAACTCTCCACTCTTCACTTGTAACCAGATGACAGCAGAGCTGCTGCATTTTGCCTCAATATGCTCGGTATATAGATGCATGTTTGGCAAATCGCATTCGTATTCTTTGCATATGCTGCCGATAATACGAGCTCACCTCTTGCATTTTTGTTTTTCTTTATTAACCAGCTTAAACTGAAGAGTGCAGGAATTCCCAATTTCCCACTAACAAAAACGTCTGTGTGAGGTGCTCTGGTGTGTTTTGTTGACGTGGTTACTAGAACGGGCCAAGTTTGTATTTGTGACCAGACAGTGGGGGGAAAAAAAGGTAAACTTTAGCTAAAATAGTAGCTCGGATTCATCCACAGCTTTACATTTCAGCTAAAAATCTTGTTTAGTTTAGTAGGTCATTTAAACTACGTAAAGCTGTCGACTTTCAACTGGACACATTTCCCTTCTTCGTTGAATTGCATTTTCAGCCCGATGCCTGTAATCATTGTGAGCAGAAACAGACACGAATGCATGTTTTTAACAGCCTTTCACGTCCAAGTCCACAATCTGAACAAGACATTTCGGTGTTATTTTAAAGCTGTGGTGACTCCTGTTACTGAGTGATTTCCCCATCGGACCCAAAACTAAATCGACTTTATTACCAGTCAGATGCTGCACTATTTGTAGTGGCACAGGTGTTTTGGTGTGTGTGTGTGTGTGTGTGTGTGTGTGTGTGTGTTGGACAGAGCTCTGCTGCTCTGTGTGTGGTCCCTGTTTTTTTTGCCTCTGACTCATTCAGGCGGCCATGTTGCTGTGGGTTTCATAGGAGGCACAGACACACACGCACAGACACACACACACACACACACACACACACACACACACACACACTCAGAGGAGGAACCAGAGTTAACCCAGTTTTACGCTCAGAACACCAGGAGAGAAACAAAGCATCTACAGCCATGCAAATACCACAAGTGCACTGTCCATTTAATGTGATAACAACAGCAGCGGGGTGGTGTGATGGCTTCCTCAAACACATTCAAATAAAGTTAACATTTAGGTATTGGTCATAGAAATGTCTGTTGTCTCTCCCGTAGAAATGGAACAGTATTGCTTAAAGTACTAGAATAATATGTTGGAAAAAGTCCACAACACTGTATTGGTCAAATCAGTTCAGATTTGACCTTGTGTCAAATGTCTGTATGTTGAAATATTAAATAGGAATTGTTAAATTAATTCATAGTCTCGAGTATTGTCAATTCTTTCATTTTGATTTGTGTTTATTTTATTTATTTTGTATTCAATGATTATGAAGAGCTGTTAATCCTTTTAAGGAAATGTGCAGCATCAGAATCAGAGTTCACATAATTACATCTCGAGATATCTGGTTATTATTGACTGCTGTGTTATCGTGTTGTTAAATCCACCTCAGGGTCCTTAAACATAAAAGAACTTTAATCCATAGAAGGAAAAATAGTGTTTTATTTAAGAGCCTTGGATTAAAACTACAAACTTGTCATCTGAGGGTAAACCTGTCACATAGGCCATGTTTTTTTTTGGTTTTGGGGGGGCTGCGGGTGGGAGGGCTGAGGGGAAAACCGTTCCTGAGAAGGCCCAGCCATAAGGCACATTCTTCCACTGGCAGAGGGGGATGGGAGGGGAGGTTTTGTTGCCCCCCCCCCCCCCTCCCGCCCCCAGCACATGCATACCAGAGCCCCCCCCCCCCCCCCCAAAAAAAAACCCCGTCCACACACACCGAGCTGCGAGTCGGGATGACAACACGGCCTCACGCACGTCCCCTCGGATCCTCCGGGAGAGCCACCGCGCCGCGCGCACGTACGCTGATGTAGGATAACGCGTCGCCGTTTGGAGAGGAGGAGACGGGGGTGGCGCGTCTCAACCGGAGATCCTATTACACACATCCAGACTGTTTCATGGCAAGTTTTTTTCTTTTTTTGGAAGTGGGGGGAGGGCGACTCTGCAACTTTCTCAGCCCGATGTGTGTGTGTGTTTTTTTCGTAGCCAGCCTAAAATGCTTCTAACGAATACTTTGCGTGGGTATTTTTGAATAGACGAGCCCCCCCTTCTACCGCAACCCCGTTGGTGAGGACAATTTTCTTGGAGCTATTCTAAATTTCTGGATAATGAAGGAATCCGTGAGGATCCAGCGGGGATCGGACGAGAGGCGCAGAATGAAAAAGTTCGGGAGGACTGCGAGGAAACTCTGAAGCGCCCCCGCAGACCCCCCCCCCCTCTCTCTCCAGCATGCCAAATACAGAAAAGTATTCGAAACCAAGCGAGCAAAGCTTCATCTTCGGGCTCCTCGAGAAATCGGGATAAGCTCAGCACCAGAACCCGGGGCGATCTCGTGTCCCCAGCCCACACTTCTCTCTCTTTCTCCTTCTTTTGTGGCCCGGTGGAGAGACCTTCTCCGCCGCTTCTCAAGATGTCCTCCCAGGCTCGGCGGGGCCCCATTGTTGGAGTGTGCGGGATGCTGTGCGTCTGGGCAGCCTGGCTCTCGGGCTCCGCGGCGGCGTTGTCGCCGAACGGCACCGCGTTCGTGGACCACTGCAAGAAACACTCGACGTGCGAGGCGCTCAAGTACAACACATGCCTCGGATCGCCGTTACCGTACACGCACACCTCCCTGGCCCTGGCCGAGGACTCCGGCACCCAGGAGGAGGCTTTTGAGAAGTTGACCATGTGGTCCGGTGAGAATTAATATGTCCATCAATGAATGTGATCCATTTGTTTTTTTATATGTGTAGGTGAATAATGCTCATCCAACGAATATATATATATATATATATATATATATATATATATATACACAATAATGCGACACTTGAATGTCTACATGGTTTTGTGTCATTATGAAAGTGATACTTAATAACTTAATTCCACTCTACTTTGTGCCCATGGCGCTGCAATTCGTAACAACCTTTTTAAAGAACAACACGAGGATCAGTGTCACTACACATTACATTCGGCATTGTGTGCATTGTTTTATATGACAATAATGTTAATTGGTTTGACAATGGCCTAGGATGGAGGCAAATGGTGGCAAGAGAGGCTCGACAGGAAATGAAGGGTTAAACGCCATTAAAGGCAACAAAAGGGGTCCCTCGTAGGTGTTAGAGAGCTGACAATGGGATACTCTCGGTAATAAAAGGCCTTTTAGATATTCTGCTTCACATTCAGAGACACTTACTAATGATCTGTCAGACTCAGGTCACTGCTTCAGAGAGATATGATCCATTGACACACTATATCTGTTTAAAGAGATGCACACTTTTGCTCATTATCCTACATGTTAAATTGTACTATTAGAAACATTTCATCCCTGCGACCATTCATACTTCCACTAGTATGTATGATAAAGAATCGTCAGCATCCTCCCATCTGAGCAGCTGGAAATGGCAAGTTTCTGACATTTTTGCTGGTTGATTGATTCATTGACTAATCTAGTTCTTTTTTTTTAAATGTAGTTCATTTTCATTTACAGGTCATTTGTTGTCAAACTGACTGGTCTCTGCTGGTCCTTTAAAAATCCAGCCTGTATCCTTCTACATCTCCTACATCTCTCACATCTAACCCGAATCTTTCAGGGTGTTTTAATGCGTGTTTCCCCTCCCCTCCCCTCGTCCCAGGTCTGCGGAACGCTCCCCGCTGTTGGTCCGTCATCCAGCCTCTGCTCTGTGCCATCTACATGCCCAAATGTGAGAACGGTCGGGTGGAGCTGCCCAGCCAGAGCCTGTGCTTGGCTACGCGTGGACCATGTAGCATCGTGGACCAGGAAAGGGGCTGGCCCGGCTTCCTCAAGTGTGACAAATTCCCCCAGGGCTGTTCGGTACGCTTCGCCGTCAACGTGGCTTTGCTCGCGAAAGGGGGTCGCGCGCGGTGCACGCGTTGAATCGGAAAAGCTCACCTTTTTGCGTCCTCCCTGTCGGCAGAACGAGGTGCAGAAGCTGAAGTTCAACATGTCGGGCCAGTGCGAGGCTCCCCTGGTGAAGACGGACATCCAGTCCAGCTGGTACAAGGACGTGGAGGGCTGCGGCATCCAGTGTGACAACCCGCTGTTCACCGAGGAGGAGCACAACGACATGCACGCCTACATCGCCTACTTTGGCACCATTACCCTCCTGTGCACCTTCTTCACCCTGGTGAGGCATAACCACGTCGCTCTTTGTGGTTTTTTATAGGAGATTCAGCAACCTTCAAGTTCCCGTGATATTCCTTTTTTTCCCGACTTTTCAAAATGTCCTCCGTTTCAGGCGACGTTTCTCGCCGACTGGAAGAACTCCAATCGCTACCCGGCCGTCATTCTCTTCTACATCAACGCCTGTTTCTTCGTGGGCAGCATAGGCTGGCTGGCCCAATTCCTGGACGGAGCACGCGACGAGATCGTGTGCAAGAGCGACAACACCATGCGACTCGGGGAGCCGTCGTACGTGAACGCCTTCGGCTTTTCCAGCTTGCCGATTGTTCCCTGACGAGGAAACGCCGCCCTAAAAAAAATCCGATCTGTGTTTCGCCCGTTCCTCCGCAGGTCTTCGGAGACGCTGTCGTGCGTCACCATCTTCATCATCGTGTACTACTCCCTGATGTCGGGCGTGATCTGGTTCGTCATGCTGACCTACGCCTGGCACACGTCCTTCAAAGCCCTGGGGACCACGCAACAGCCGCTGTCCGGCAGGACCTCCTACTTCCACATGGTCACCTGGTCCATTCCCTTTGTCCTGACCGTGGCCATCCTGGCCATCGCCGAGGTGCGTGAGGGAGCCGTTCGCCGTCGCTCGTCCTGACCCTCGGAAGACGGGATAGTGTTCTAGCGTCGCGAAAAAGGACGTAGGTTGTTTTTCCTCATTGGCTGTGGCTCTTTGACTCACAGGTGGACGGAGACTCAGTCAGCGGGATCTGTTTCGTCGGATACAAGAACTACAGATACCGTGCCGGGTTCGTGCTTGCCCCCATCGGGGTGGTGCTTGTCGTCGGAGGCTACTTCCTCATCCGGGGTGAGTGTTGTTTTACGTTCAACGGCCGAACTCTTCTACTCAAGTCTTTCGGGGATTTGTTACATTCCTCCTCAAACCCATCCCCACAGCCACGAACCCCCGACTGATCCCGTTCGTCTCTCCTTTTAGGCGTCATGACTTTGTTTTCCATTAAGAGCAACCACCCCGGGCTGCTGAGTGAGAAAGCTGCCAGTAAAATCAAAGAGACGATGCTGAGACTTGGTACGTCCTCTCATCCCGTGGCATTGCACACCAGTATGAGGGTAAACATCCGTTTAGGTGTTAGGCAAAGAAACGTTTTAAGAATCCTTCACAGCACGTTATTAGGACACAATAAACTAAAATGGAACTTATATCACCACCACGTCTCTTGAAATGACAAAAGTTAGCGAACCTTTTTAACCGTTTAACATTCTAGGGTAGATTTCCTCACTGTACGCATGCTGTTGGGAGTGTTTGGCATCTCTCATCTGATTTGTTTTGTGCCGTTTCTCCGTGCCAGGTATTTTTGGATTCCTCGCTTTCGGCTTTGTCTTCATCACCTTCGGCTGCCACTTCTACGACTTCTTCAACCAGGCCGAATGGGAGAGGAGCTTCAGAGAATACGTGCTGTGAGTTTTTCACTGTCCTTCTCCTCCAGGTCCGCTGCACACCTGCAACATCTCCACAAACTGTTAAAGCTGTTGAGACTCAAAAGCGCCGCATAACCACTCGGCCTGCAGCGGTGAATGCAGCCCTATTTCCCCCCCCAGGGTGTTGACTCGCGCTGGATCTGAATTAATTTAGCCTAAAAAATGTGAAAGCGCTCTCTGCTGCACCGACGTGTGAAAGACTCTCTTATTTGCCAAATCCAGCTTCTGAATGTCCCCTAGTCATCATATGGATAGAAGCTGTGCTGGGCACACTGGGCACATCTAGCATGGTCAAGGCATTGACTTTTCATCTTTGCGATGTTTTTCGACAGGTGCGAAGCCAACGTGACAATCGCCTCTCAGACCAACAAGCCGATCCCAGAATGCACCATTAAGAACCGGCCCAGCCTAATGGTGGAAAAGATCAACCTGTTCTCCATGTTCGGGACCGGTATTGCTATGAGTACCTGGGTCTGGACCAAGGCCACTATCCTCATCTGGAGACGGACCTGGTGCAAGTAAGCAAACATCGAGTTACAAGAAGATGTCTTTAACAACAAAGACATCTTCTGTGCCTAAAGTTGTAAACATTTCCATGCAGGAGATTGTGTTTGGTGTTTTTATGTCCATATATAGTTTTAAAGATATGATAACGACTCCCAAAAGTGGATACTGGATGTTCATCCTGCCTTCTGTTCCCGTGCCAGGATTATTGGCCGCAGTGACAATGAACCCAAGAGGATCAAGAAGAGCAAGATGATTGCCAAGGCGTTTGCGTTGAGGAAGGAACTTCACAAGGACCCAGAGAAGGAGCTGTCTTTCAGCATGCACACCGTGTCCCACGAAGGACCCGTGGGTGAGTATTTCAGTGAAGGTCAAGACTAAACCAGACCAGCCTTTTAGGATAAAACAGAAAACACTTTTTGACATATGAGGTGTCACAGCATTGTCCTTTACTTGGGATGAAAATCGTGACCGCTGAAGCCCCGCCTCTTGACGCATGCGTGTACGTCCATCTTGTGGTAAATAACTGAAACTTCAAGACGTCTCGTTAGCATTATTTATAGTGGAGCTCATACCTCATGTTAGTATTGTTATTGTATGCATAGTGGTAATTAATTCAAATACAACGGGTAGTTTCTCAGCCATGCAGATATGTATTCGGGTTTGGCGCCATGTGTGCTGATGTAGACAACCGCTATTTGTTATTTTTCTTTCATTTGGCCTGAGAAGTATTTTTTCCATTCGCTTTTGTGCGGTTGAGGGGCTACGCAGTCAGGGACAAGAGTTATATCTTCAGCGTAAGAACTGAAAGACACGTCTCTGCACATGTAAACTGTGAGGCTGCTGTGGCTGCCATGCTTGTTTAGCTTGGAGCAGTTCTATAGCTACAGAGGCACCGCGGGGGGAGACATTAAGTGTCTGTTGCGTCTAACGCCGTCCTCGGTTCTCCCTTTCTTTGTTTACGGAGAGTTAGTGGTTTGCCTTCTCTCATTCGTAGCCGGAATCAATTTTGAGCTGAATGAGCCATCGAATGACATGTCGTCGGCCTGGGCGCAGCATGTGACCAAGATGGTGGCCAGGCGAGGTGCCATCCTGCCTCAGGACATCTCTGTTACCCCCACTGGTACCCCAGGTGAGAGCTGCAGGCCATTACACCTACTGCTCTGTACATACACAGAGCATTTCACATCACATTTTCCTGCCATCCCTTCACCTGTCTTCCTTTCTGACATTTCTTCCCAGTGCCACCTCCAGACGAGAGGAACAGACTGTGGATGGTGGAGGCGGAGATCTCGCCAGAGATGATAAAGAGGAAAAAGAAGAAGAAGAAGAGGAAGAAGGACGTTCGTCCGTCGGAGGAAGCGGTGGAACACCATGGCTATGCTCAGCGCGAGTTCGGCCGCAGCTCGGTGCCTCGCCTGCCCAAATTGCCGTGCCACCCCAGCCTGGTCGCAAACCTGCGGGAGCATCAGAGGCAACAGCAGACGCTGGAGGAGGAGGAGGTCCTGCCAGGGTCCTACCCGGACACCCGACCCTCCCACTCCGTGTCCCGCGAGCAGAGGCGCCCCCATCCCTCGTACCAGAGCGGCCGGCGCAGCTACGGCCACGGCCACCCTCCGGCCTACAGCGACCGCCCAGAAGATCTGGGTCTCGGCCCGCGCTGCCTCCCCTCAGCCTCCACCTGGCAGCCCAGCGAACCTTCCAGCTACCCGGGGGAGACAGACCTCGCCGACGGGCTGTCAGAGAGGTTGGCCCACGTGGCTCGGGTGCCGGCTGGACGCAGGGCAGGCTATGGACCCATTCACTCTCGGACCAATTTAATGGAAGCGGAGCTTATGGACGCCGACTCTGACTTCTAAGAGCACAGCTCAGGTTTATTGCTTGGCGGTACGCAGACAGTAAGCTACAAAAAGTGCTGGATACTTTCTAAATTCTTACTTAAGATTCCACCTACCGAGCAGTCCAGATGGAACGAAGCCGGTCACTTTTTAAAAATATATCTTTTTTTCTTTTTTGTGTTTGGAAAAAATACAAAGGGATAAAGTGGAAAAATATGTTGTGAATAAGTTAATGAAATACTTTTTTTTTTTTTGGTCTACCATTTGTGTCCAATTAAATTTCAAGGCAACTCTATAATGACAAGACAAAACGGCAGCTAAACTTTATATTGCTTGAAACAGAACCCCCCCCCCCATGTATTCATTCGCTAGTATCAGCTCAGCAGGACATCCTCGATACAACTTGTAAAAGTCAATTATTATTGTTAATCTTTGTACGACAGCTTGTGTCATAATTTTTTTACTGTGCCAGGGCTGTAAAACCGGACTCGGACAAAAGACCGTACAGGTTTTTTTTTTTAAACGCTACGGGCTACTTGCAAATACTTTTGAACCCGGGTCTTCTTATGTGTCATATTTAACTTTTTTTAAGATCCCTTTTCTCTCTTCCCACCACTATTTAGCTATTTTTACTTTTTTATGTGCTGTGAACTTGAGGTGTGATTGCATATGCTCGGTTTTCTGGTGCAACGAACCAACAATTGGCTTCTTTTTTTGTCCGGATCAAAGACATACTGTTATGTGCATATCTTTTTCTTAATGAGTTATTTTTGTATATTTCAGAACAACTTTTCTTTCGCCTTGAAAGTGTTTTATTTTTTTTACAGCAGTATTTTTATGTATTTTAAATTGTTGCATATTCAATATTAACTGGGCTTCAGTTTTTTTCTTTCATTAAATCAAGTTAAAAATCTTTTGTTTGACGTAGTTTAGCAGCAGTGGGCTTAGAAGTCACTTTTTACATGAATGCTTCTATTTTACAATCACTCTTTCTAAGTGTATGTGTGTTATGTATATAAGTTGCTCATAGATTTCTCAATAAGGGTATTATTTGTACAGATTTATACATCAAGTCACTCGATTACTCTGCCGAAATTGATAATAAGAAGGGAAGAGTCAACTATGCTACAATAAGTTGTCACTGTACTTGTGCTGTAACCAAAACTTCCCCTGTATTGTCATTTGATACGGATACATGACGCTGAAGTCACTCTTTGCCAACGGTAAGTAGTTTGTCTAGATATTCATGTGAAATGTGTATGATAGAGAATTATTTGTTACCACACTGCTATAAATTCAGTAAAATAGAACAAAGTAAATAACAGCTGATATCCATCCAAGACAAGAATATTTAGAGGTTAAATGAATTATTTTGCGTCGTACGCCCAGAAAAGTAATAATTTCTGTTTTTTTTGTAAACTGTCAAAAAGATTTAGGCTTACTCGCAGGCAGGGCTGTAGTGGAGGGTAAACGCACGTAAACGCCGTTTACGCACCTCTGGAATTTTGGAAATAGCGTTTACGCACCTCAAAGTTACCTGCGCCTTGTATTCTTCCGTTGGAATAATCCGAAATAAACTTGGTGTAATTTTAAAACAGCTAAGACTACGTTTCCTATTGTTGAACATATAAACGCCGTAGTCTGAATCATGTTCATCTGCGTTGTATTACGGTCTGTGAGCATCCAATCAGTGCCTTGCGGCTGCAGCAGCAACACCAATCAGGATCCAGGAGGTGTGTAAACACATGTTGTCGATCAGCCCAGTGGTCCCCAACCTTTCTTACCTCACGGACCGGTTTCATGTCAGACAATATTTCGCGGACCGGTCGAGAAGGTCCGACGGGGTGGGGAGGGTGTAGTCGTTGCGGGCGGAACGACCGACGGAAACAAGTCAGTTCTCAATGTGAAAAAAAACATGCTGTATAGGCTATTTATGATGACATAGGTAGTACATGAGTGTTCCTTTAACTTATGTTGTCAGTGTAATTGACAGGCTGCTTAACTGTTTAACTCTTAAATTCAACATATTTTTTCAGGCAGTGAGAGGACAGGCAATGATGCAGAGAGCACAGGGAGAGGAGAAACACCAGGTCCAATAGAGAGAGAAGCACAGAGGAGCCATGGCTCCTCTGTGCAAGGCAGGACCTGACGTGGAGGACAAGGAGGCCCTCAGGGCACTACTGTAAAAAGGAGACTCCGTATGTAGATAGTTCTTAATCTGCAATTGTGTTGTTGTGTTGACATACTTTTCTTCACTGTTTTCATAGATTTAATGAACTACAAACTACTAACACATGTATTCATTGTCATTGATTGTATATGACTTTTACTGATAACATAATGCAATATAGCCAGGACAGCCTTACAGAGTCACAACGCTTTGTGTTGCGTTGCTTCACATTGCGTCGAGGTCTGTATGATCACAAAATTCAGAGTTTACCCACCTCTAATTTTACCACTACAGCACTGCCTATATGTGATGTCTCAGTAGTGTTTGTGACTAGCAGGTGCACTGAATGAACTGATTAGGTGAGTGACAGGTGGAGGAGACAGGGTAGAAAGTGACGGAGCTGTGGCGAGGCTTATTTCTTTTATTTTCATCCTAAAACTATCTGTACAGGTAGTAATTTACCACTAAACGACATCGGGGGATTTCACAAACACCGTCATCACCTGTGTGTCAGCACTGCACGAGCACTAGGCGGAGGAGGAGGAGGAAGGAGGAAGGAGCGCGGCTTGTGGGCGCCGCGGAGCAGTTCGGTGAAATTCTCACAAGAACTCAAATAAATGCCCCGTCGAATGTCAAAACACATTTGGGGGGATTTGATGACAGTGCGAGTAATAGTTATTCTAAAATTTTGATGAATGAAGAAACAATTGTGCTCCAGCAGAAGGGGCACTTTTCTCATCTAGGGCTTAAACAGCCTCCAATAAACGCAGTGCCAAAGACTACACCGTGCCCAGCTGTTTTGGTAATGAATGAGAGTTAAATAGATATTGTTCGTTGAATTTGAGCTATTCCAAACCTTTACTTAGCAATAGTTGATTTGACCACTCTCATGTAGGATTATGTACCGAGCATCGGTGCAATATTGGTGAAATGAAATGACAAAAATGACACAAATGACTATATGAACATCTATTTATTGAACTTTAACAAAACTGAAAAGTGCAAATGTAAAACAAATCTTTTTTGTGGGATTTAGTCCAGCGCTTCTTTAATGTGTCTTGTCCATATATTGAAGCAATAATGATAACAAATAAACAAATAATAAATAGTAAATGCTTTATATAGCCACATATTAAAATAAGAAAAGCTTCCGAAGCATCACGGCCGGGGCGAAAACATGGGTATTTTCTTTTAGTTCGTCCGTAAACTTACATTTACGTTTCGGCATGGCTGCAGATGTCATGTGCTGTAAACAATGCAACTAGTGAAGTGCTCAGTGTTGCCAGATTGTAAATGGTGAAGTATCATACCAAAGGCTCAAAATGGCCGTATTTGGAGGATAATTATCGTGTATTTGGCAACATTGAGATCGGTTGACCAATGCCTGTTCTCTCTACAGTCAGAGCTCGCGAAAGAAGGTGGAACGTAAGGGAGACACCATTTCCAAAATTTGTAAGTGCGTAATAACTAGTTTGTGAAAGACCCAGAGAAACACAAATATACGACGAAGCAAAATCCCGGACGTTTTTGGAATCTCTGCCGGACGCATTTTTTAGGTCTCAAAAAGAGGACATGTCCGGGGAAAAGAGGACGTTTGGTCACCCTAATTAAACAGTCTGATAACTGTCCTCGCAGCAGCTAACGATAGCTCACCGCTTGTGTAGCTACAGCAGCTAGCTAGCCATCTACCTTCTATTCGTATTAATTTTTCTACACAACAGAAAAGCGATGTGCTCTCGTGCCTCATGCAGCTCTTCTGTGTTGCACGTCAATACTTTGAGACAAACAAGGAGCGTCAATCTAACGTAAATGCTTTTCAATAAATGTCTTTAGTTCCTGCACAATGAACATGAATCTCAAATTAAATGATTAATATGCCCCAAATTCCAATTAACTACACTTCCGCTGTTACAGAGGGGAAACACTGTAATCATACTGTAAACTTTCAAAAGTTCATATATTGTGCATAGTTTGAAGTGAAAAAAAACGTTTCTTCAATTGTGTTTGGGTTCAGGCTCTGTTTGGGATCGGTATCGGGAAAACCCAAACGATACTCATCCCTACTCTCATGTGACATGTCTGCGCGCTCAACGTGAAGCATAAAGCATAAAGCCAGCCGCTGGTTAGCTTAGCATGAAGACTGGAGACAAGAGGGCTCGAAAGGGATGTTTAAAAATCCGGATTCAACAGTTTACAAATTTCCAACTTGATGAAACAATGGACAAAAATCGTTCTTTATTTATTCTTAAAGTGTTTGCTTTCAAGATCAAGATGGGGTCATAGAAAAAAACAAGTAGAGCAAAGTGTTTTATGCACCATGTCAAGTGGATGAGCTCCATCAATACAAATACACCGTCCACACACACACATTTACTCTAAAGGCTCATTTGCATATTGTAGATACCTTCACTGTAACCATAGAGACGTTACATCATGATGGAACATTTCTCCATGTTCCATGTTCCATGTTCTATGTTCTATGCTCCGTTCACCACAGCATAAGAACACAGTCTGTTGCACATCCAGTCAGTCAGTTTCAAACCTCGCATCTACACACTGAAGTTTTCCGGACCTGCACTTGCAGAAAGCAACCATGTAATGCCTCAGGAGTCTGTAGAGGGGACGAAGACGCGTTCTGCTGCACTTAACAGAGCTCAAGGTAAGTGAGTAATCCAGACAGACTGCAGCCTTACTGCTGTGAATGATGTATTGGTCTATTGGGTGGAGAAGGCTGTGATTTAGAGCTAATACCTTGAGATAAACCTCTGATTCCTGCTGTTGTCATGTAGATGTACACAGAGACGCATTAACATATAAAAGTACTTACACAGAGACGCACTAACATATAAAAGTTATTTGAGGAAATTGCACTTTTGAGTTTGTACCCTATGGTTGAATGCACTTATTGTAAGTCGCTTTGGATAAAAGCGTCAGCTAAATGTAATGTAATGTAAAAAGTACTTACACAGAGACGCACTAACATATTGGTATGCACAGAGACTAGCTAAACATAAAAAGTAAATACAGAAATACAGTTTAACAACCACAAATATATAATGTAGATTTACACATCCATACAAACATGAAATAATTAAAATGTGCATCAAATTAAAATAATGGGATCTATGAATCTTGTCTTGATGAAACATCCTGATGATCCTCCTCACGTCTCTTCTCCTTGTCTGCAGACCAACGGGACGCCATCAGGACGCCATCAGGACGCCACGTCAACGGGACGCCATCAGGACGTCACGTCAACCCCTCAGGAGCAAATCTACGCATGACACCCCCCCCCCCCCACACACACACACACACACACAGATGTACACACAGACACTAACATTTTGTTCTAAACAAAGACACACACTAACATTTAGATGTACACAAAGACACATTAATATTTAGATGTACACACAGACACACTAACAATTAGATGTACACACAGACACACTATCATTTGGTTCTAAACAAAGACACACGCTAATATTTAGATGTACACAAAGACACAATAACAATTAGATGTACACACAGACACATTAGTATTCAGAAGTACACAAAAACACACAAACATCTGGT